AATATCGCCAGCTGAATCACGAGGCGGCCTGTGTGCAGCACATTCAGGTTGTAGAATTCATGAACAAGAGATTCAGTTGAGTCTCTCGTGAAAACGAAACTGGTTAGCAAATGAGTGTATTTCTCGAAACCCTTCCAATTTGGATTCAAACAGAACATAAAATTGATGGGAACTCGATGACTGCGCCTACCTGAGGAGCCCTAAGCGGAAGGGAGAAGCCGGTCGTGGGTTGTCGAAGAGTTTTCAGCAACCTTGTGAGTAGTTTATTTTATGGAGATTACTGCAGCTGCATTTGTGAGGGCACGCTAGGACCATCGTGAGTGGGCGAGAAGCACCCAGCTTTAATGCGCGATCCTGAGTATCTAGAAATTCTGACCAATCACGACACACCCTCGTTTAGTCCGTAGCCCACACGTGACACATCCGTCCAATCGACATGATGTTCGGTTACAAGAGCGACTGGCCCCCAAGCTGAACCGATATCTACAGTTGCAGGATCCCTACCCTGAGCGTGAAGATAGAAAATTTTCCTTATAACTGATGTAGTTGTAAGAGTTTCACGTCACCCTTAAAGGTTCATACAGCTGTGACATTATCACACATAACTACTGTCTACACCATACGGTGTTCGTGCGTTTCAATGCGCGGCTCGAATTCATTCATTTGGTTGCTAGCTGGACACTCGCACTAACGGTCATGAACAAAATCACGTTGTATTCTGCACGTTTTCCTTGCTGAATAAATTAGTTTCAGTGTTTTTTGTGGAGATTTCGTCCCGTAAGTGAAGCCAATCTACGCAGGAAAGCGGAGAAGCACTGTACAGTTGTTTTATCCTTATTGGAAATCATCAGCAGTGCGCATCTCACGAAACTCCGACGCGGTCACACGTGTTGACTGACTTCTCGAGCAACGACTTCTCAGATGGAGGTTTCACTCATCGGGTGAAGTTTATTCTTCCACTGAGCTACTTATATATTGTTGGTAGTGTTAGGAGATTTGGAATTTTTGTAGAGATTTAGTCCTCTAAGTAAAGCCAATCTACTCTGAAAAGCCAAGAAGCACTGTACAGCTGTTTCATCCCTATTGGGAGATGCGCCCTGTTGATGATTCCCAATAAGAATGAAACAGCTGTACACTGCTTCCCGGTTTTTCAACATAGATTGGCTCCACTTACAGGACGAAATCTCCACAAAAATCCCAAATCTCCTAACACTACCAACAATAGTTTCAGAGTCCCTCCTACTCATCCTATGAAACCCCATCAAAATGTGTCAAAAACTCTGGCTTGAAATGTTGAGTACGGATTCTTTCCAAAAAGGATTTCTGTGAATAATCCAGCTATCGAAGAGCTTATTGGACGAACTATAAAAAGAGCCCTCCCAAATTTTCTGTTATAGGACAATCGCAGCAGTGTTTGTTTGCTGATTGCTGAGGCGTGTTGCCATCAGACTCAAACACAGTCAGTCGAATGAAAGTGTGGCATTTCAATGGTAAAATTCTTATCTGTGTTATCGCACCACAAAAAATAAAATCTAGATCATTTGATCATGGTTTTAGCACATGATCGTATTATCCAGGTCTCGTTTGCGAAAATCCCTGCTCTCAATTGGAGCATTTTCCTTCAAATGGGAATCCCGAATGCCACCGAGATGCTTTTCATTACCACGTAAAAGCGCACTGACGGCGTCTCTTTGATTTTTTTTGAAAAGACATTTTCAGGCTTGTTGGTAGGCTCACCAAACAGATCAACAGCAACTTGGTCAACAGCCAACCCCCTTCTACCATGCCTTTTTCAACATATTCCGGCATTCCTTAAGGTGGTTTCGCAAGGTATCAGCTGCTTGAACTGTGATTTTGGTGGCCTCGGTAAGACGTTAAATTGGGGACACAGAGTTACTTACAATTGAGGTCAACATCCCAACAAACGAGAAACGAAACGGAGTAAGCAATTTGTGTGTACATACTGCCGAAATTGGGAAAAACTCCACCTGGATTAGGGATTACGGGGTTGGGTATGAAAAGCGCTCAGTGGTCCGGAGCGAACACCTTCCAGCGTATGACCGGCTTGTTTGGACCACTGGGACAGACGGGAAAACGGATCAAACTGGTTCGGCAAAGTTTCTCTCTTTGCAAGGGGAACATTTGCCCTAAAAATGGTGCTTTAACGTCTGGATCGTGGCCATCAAAATGACAGTTCAGTCGGCAGGTGGCTTACCGTAGACATGTGTGGGGCTAGTAGGCTTTACTTGAAAAGGGGAGTATTTTTTATTATTTTTTAGCAAAGTCTGCACAAAATGTTGTACCTGGGAAAGGTGGGCGTCGACTGTGCAGCAAAATACCTTGAAGCTACTCGAATTCACAGTGCTGACATTGAGCATAAAATTACCTGGAGTTGCTCCATTCCTGTGGCATATGTCACCAGCTTATTGTTAATTAGACAACTGTTCCAAGACCCCTACATAAATATGTGTTGTTCAGTTAAGAATCGTGGTAAGTCTTTCACTAACCCGTAATTGAAACAACCCGGTAGCGAAGTGGAGCGGCCTGCTCATCAGAGGACACATCACCGGTCTGAGTTACTCTGGCCAAGCTCAATCGCTTACGTTCATCTCGGAATTCAAACATCCAGAGAGTATAGGTATTCAAGACTTGGCTATGATCAGGTTGATGCACATTGTCTAACTTGCACAACAGCATTTTTTATGTAACAAGCCAGCTGGGAAAAAACGAATAGAAAATCCTAAAGAAAACCAGAAAGCTCTCAAAAGACTACCCAGTGACATGCCATAATTCGGCTCGTTCTCCTCCGGAATGACCAGAGTTTTGAGAAGGGGTCACTTGTGAGCAGAGAAATACCGTGAACAAACATAAGAGTAGAGTTTCAAAAACTGAATTGCAAATCAAAATATTAGGCATACAAAATAAACCTGGAACGGTTATGAAAAATACTCGGATACCTGCGTGAGTTGGTTGGTACTTCAGAATGTCCAGTGTTAGGGCAGGCCATACGCAAGCGTATACATAACGTTCAAACAGACAAGCAAGTAACCAAGGCGAGAGAGAATTCTTGAGACGATGCAGTATGAAACTTGAGACAACAAAGTAAACAGGCAGAATAATCGAAAACGGGATTTTTCCCTGATGAACTTTTTCAGGTGCCTGAGTGACTGACAGTTTCGCCGAAGGGTTTTCTAACACCCGGATTGGAATAACGTGATGAAAATCCAAAAGACTAAGGCTTGCCCTGCTCAGATTGCAAACCATGGGTGGAACTTGGAATGAACACTGTCCCTGAAACTACTTGATGTAGTGGGTGATGTAAGGAATGTCATCAACTGTCAAGAATCGCAAGTCATCTGCAGTATGTCCCTAGTTCGAGACACATGAACCAGATTTCAAGTGTTATCGGTTCGGCGAGGGGCTACTACAGAATGGTTCGAAGAGAAGGACTGAAAGACTTTTCAAAGGCAACACCTATTGAGCCTTAAAATGCTCTTGTCCGGAAGCAGTGAACTGCAATCGTGAAGACACAAGACAAACACAGGAGAGCACATGTGTGTTCAAACGAAGTGTTGGGTACCGCATTGGAGAACAAGACAAACTGGAATTCATACGGTGTACAGAAATGTGTACCCCAGGTCAACGGCATTTCTAATGTGCACACAAATCGTTGTTCCACATGTACCACAGTTCTAATGTGCACACAAATCGTTGTTCCACAGAGTAGCGTCTTTCAAAAGTGGGGTTTATCTGGAATTTTTTCACCTGTTCATATTTTACCAAAATGTGAGCACCAACAAACACGAGAGGGAAGTGAGATCAGTAGTTGAAAGAATCCAGGAAATCTCATTATTCAGGACGGTACACGAGCGCGTCTTTTACCCATACAAGATCATCAGTTTGAGTCGAACACCGAAAGTGAAAGCGAAGTCTTTAGAGTAACTTCACCTGAGGTAGAGATTTAGGTTGTGATTTAAGCTGAATCGAAAACGGTCGACCGAGGAACAGCGGCCCCAGATTTTTCGAACAGTGTTGCATTATCCCTCGTTACAAGAAATAAAACTCTTCAGGTGTTTCAAATCTGATTCACCTGGTAAATTTTGTCCTTTTGGTTTCTGAAACACCTCGAAGCACGCGGTTGTTTCTCACAACGTGCTTAGGAAACTAGATTTTCATTTGGTTTCCTGACTTTAAACAGTTTAAACACTGGTTTAATAATGACGCTTAACAGTCAATTTATCTATTTCAAGACTATCTCCATATCAGAATAGGGGCGATGGACACATTGAACTTGCCGATCCAGTCCAAGAGGTCTCAGCAGCGAATCAACCAGACCACTGGTTGAAAAGCAACATGGCACTTCAAACTCAGCCATAAAATCAGACTGATTACAGTTCATTTTTAATGTTATTTCCCAGATTACTTTTGGATCAAGTGGTTTTTTTGCAAGATTACATTACATGAAAATCTAGATTTCTTGATAGAATTAAAACGGCACATCCAGTCTGTAGCCGCACATGTTCTAACTCCCAACCTGGAGGGCCAGGGGCCTGTGTTCGTCAGATCTCTAACCATTGACCAAGCTGGTTGATCACGTGGACCCTACCCAGTATAGCTCAATGGGCGGTCAATCAATCGATCAAATCAATCAAAGACAGCAAAATCAGTGTTGACATTGATGCTTCACTGGTCACGGGGTCACACAAACCGTCACAATACAGTAGGGTCCAGTCTGTTCTGGATGAACGTAACTTCAACAGAAGCATCAGTTGTTCGTCATATATCATACAGTAGACATTCAGTCCCAGGAATAAAACAGCTTGCACGCGCTAGCAACTATTAGGATGTCACCAGGTATGAAGTTAACTGGTTTCTAGCCAGAGATTCCCGAAAATGCGAGCCGCCTCTACTCCAACAAATACCGCCTGGTGTGCTTGGCTTAACTTTTCTAGAAGACACCAGAGGTCGTGTTTACGACAACCTGATTGCACTGACAAATTATGGGTTTGTGCTTGGGACTTCCTTCATCAGAGCTGAAACGAAATCCCGTGCCTACGTCATATGACCGCAGAACTCTGGTGAATGCTGTTCTGCTGGAATTTTCCAAGACCTACGGTCGCACCGTTCACCGTCCACTCCGCATATTTATCAATATGGATTCAGTGGCTATTCCCTTCATTGGATTCAGCGTCTCACTGGCAGACGATGAGCAGCATCAGTCAGTGGAGTTCCATACGTCGCAAAGGAAGTCACAACTGGAGTTCCCCGAGGGTCAGCACTGGGACCGAGATGCATCCTCTTTATCAACGAATTACGGCCGATTAGAATCTAACCATATAATAATCTCCTTTGATGACGTGAAGGTCTGGCCGGGTACCAACCCGAAACAGTGTTACAGCTAACCGATTATTACTTAATTAGTATAACTTCTACCGAGGAGGCACGATCTTTCGCCAATGTATTGCCGTCTGCAACGCCCAGACCCTGACTTCTTTCCGGGACATCAAAACAATCTGATGTAGTTGCCAGGTGTTTGGGCTTACTGATACTTTTCGATTTGAGAATGAGTGGTGGTGCCCAGAATGCTCTCAGGCTTATTAGTGCACAGGTTATGCTAACCATAGATGGCTGAGAAGGTGTATGCACTAATAAGAGTCTTTACTATGGTAAATAGAAGTTTACAGTTACTTGTTGTATCATGATAAAATAAATGCAGTGCGGACAATGGAATAAGTCAAAAGGTGACTTATCGTTTGTGGATAACTCGTGAGAGTTCCCGGGTGGAAGTCCGGACGGCGGGAATGTGCTTTCTACGCAGTAAAGCTGCTACACGTCTTCTGTAGTTGTCCGCGAACTTGTGGAGTTTGGTTGACTCCCTGACCCCTGCGCGCGGGCGAGTTTATGTGTGATGACTGTGTCGTGTCTTCCTATATATAGGGAGGTTTGACGTGTGTATAATGCCTAGAATAGTTTAGACGCGTACAAGACGGGAACTCAACTGTCATCCATTTCCCAAGCGGGACAGGGTTTTGTTACGTGATTTGAGTTTTTGCAGTAGAAAGGAGTCGTGTGATCTAGTGAGCACAGATGTTCTAGACAGATTAAGCGAACTTGTTCGAAGGAACAAGAAAGTGACTGCGGCGAGCTGTCAGAACTGATCAGTCCCGTTTGTCCCAAAGTACACCGGTTCGTGCTCTTCTAGAGAAAACCATATTTGGCGAGACATGTAACGACTCCTAATGAGGATGGTACTTCAGTTCACTAACTTCCAACTCAATGGTTAGAGCACGAATTTGCTGACCGAAAGGTCCGTGGCTCGAACCCGACCACTGCCTCTCGACTTCTTCTGTCTTGGCTTGAACAACCTGGCATAATTCCACTCCTCGTGTTTCCTTGGGCTGGCATGGTAGCTAGGCACCGAAATGGTGTTACACCGGGACGATTATTACACTCATTTCCAAATCAATTTGGTTCTCACGAGAGAGTCAACTGAATCTCTCGTTTATGATGTCCTCCAGCTGAATGTGCTGCACACTGGCCGCCTCATGGTTCAGTTGGCACGATATTCGAGATATCGCAGTATGTTTTCATAAAGGAAACTACTTCTATGGCTGCTGAAACCTCTTCGACATCCCAAGACCGGATTTGCTCTTCTTGGGGCTCATCAGGTAGGTGCAGTCCCTTGAGCTAGAGACAACTCAGTGTTCAGAATGTCAATCTGCTGACGGAAAGCTCAGTAGTTTGAACCTAGTTACGGCTAATCAACTGCTCCTGTTTAAGCTTAGGTAACCCGGTGTAAGTTCAGCCTCTGTTCTTCCTTAACGGGGGAATTCTCGAATATAGAAACCGTGGTATTCGTGACCCGCGAACTTTACACTTTTGCCAGAATTTCTACTGCTCTCTCACACAGGCCAAACCTTTTTCAGAATCCCAGAAATGCAAACACTGTTGGCAAGCTTAAAAGATAGAGGTCTGTAGAGGGCAATGTCTAACCAACTGTCAAATGCGTATAGGATACTCAGACACTAGGCGCAGTGTCCTTCAGTTGGTGGGAGGGACCATGTATTATTGAGTGAGACTGAAGCCAAGAGAGTGATTCGGGCTTAGGAGCAGACAAAATGCCCACTGAAATGCCATCACGTTTGCAAAAAGTTTATTGACCAACAGATTTTTTTCGGGAAGACAAAAAAGTCTAATCGAGCGACTAATTATGAGAATAATAATTCATTTAATGAAATAGGAAGGTGTTGTGTACAGTTAGCTGACAGGTAGAATAATAAGTCAACTGAATGGAGCCCTCGACATCTGTATGATGGGTGTGTATGTATGTCAGTCAGGCAAGAGCACCCACAAAGGACTTGAAGTGGCACAGGGTTGCGTTACACACAGTCGTACTGTAACAGCTTCGACTGTGGCTAAGCAATTCCTTTGGGTGAGCTTCGGCAGCCAGTCTGTACAGAAGATGTTGACTAAATTCAAGACGACGGCGCCTCTGACTGACTGTTAGCAATCGGAAGTAACGACGACGCCTCTGACTGACTGTTAGCAATCGGAAGACGGAATTTGGTCTCGAACTCGCCTAATAAGTCTCCAACAATGCATAGTGGTCAGAAAAGATTGCAGCACCACAGACAAAATCGACCCAATTGAAAATTGCATAGTTGCAACCAGTTGCTTCGGCAGATGAGTTTCTATTCAATCAACACCCCAGTGACCTCAACTCACAGAGCTAATAACGTACTACCGTGCTTGAGTCAACCTTCCAAAAACAGGGTCTGTTTTTGACCAATGGACCACTCAAACAATCCTCAGTTCAGGACGCAGTTGTTAGTAGAGCGTGTAGGAGACCCAAATGACTTCAAGTTGAATCTTTTGTTTACGCCGTCCTATTAATGAGGGCTGTGCGAAAAGGCCGCTTCATGTTTCACTTTGGAAGACACTCGGGAACAACTTCTTGATGGAAAACACTATTTATAGAATTGCTGAGGGCTTTTTCACAGCCAGCGACGGTTTCATCTTCCCCGGATCACATCAATTTCATTGAAAAAAAGAGTACATGTTTACCAGTTGCTCGAAATTTAAAGGTGGCGGTACTGCGTGAGTACTGTTGAAGATAGTGCGTCTACCTAAAGAGTCCAAGTGGGGTAGGCCGTGAAACATATGTCGGTAATCTTAAAAGCTGTGTATTTACGCAATAAATTACTCACAAATTTGACGAAAACTCTTCGAAAGCGCACGACCGATTCATAAACGAGGGATTCTTTTGGGTTTCAGGTGAGTTCCGCGCAAAATCAGATTGGTTTGCAAATGAGTGTATTTCGCTAATTTCGTGCAATTTGACCTAAAGTAGAACATAAGGTTGACGGAAGCTCGGGGACTGTGCCTTCTTGATGAGCCTCAAGAAGGGCGAAACCAGTCGTGGGCTGTCGAAGAATTTTTAGCAACCTTATGAGCAATGTATTATGTCTATACGCGTACGGCGATATCTCGAATACCGTACCAAGTGAAACATGAGGCAACCTGGTGCAGCACACTTAGTTGCTTGACAACATCATAAACAAGAAATTCAGATAGGTTCCAGGTGTCTCCCGCCAAACCAAATTGGTTTGAAAATAAGTGCATTTCGCCAAAACTAAGGTTCCGATCGAGTCACATTGAAAATATGATGTTCTGTGGAAATTACCCATGGAGTTTTTCAGTTAGTGGAGCAAAATGGTGTCATGATATTGATGACTGGCGTTCTAATGGTTGAAACACTGACATGATACTGAGCAGGCCAATCGAATAAATCCAGAATGACTGGATAAATTCCCGTTAAAAAAATCATGAAAGCGAAAACGAACTAAGACACAAAAGTTCCTAAACAGACAGGTTTCAAACGGATCAGTGACAATCACTGGAAAGGAACAGCATAGCAGTTGTTAAAGGTTTTTAACAGGGTTACAGACAACAACATATGGTGCAACATGTAAAAGGGACCAGTCTTCGCTTCCAATCGCTTTTAATTCTTCTGCGGATCGATAAAGCACAAAAGGTCCGGAATGCGCAAACACACATGGAGAGACACGCTTGCTTACCCTCCGCACCCTTAAGATTAGTCACCCATTTTTGATTGGATTAGGTCTTGCATGGTCGTGCCAATAGCGTTGCTTACGTTCGTAGTCAACCGCTGCTACTGATCATATCGAACTGAGCTAATCGTGAAGAACACCGATGCGCCGACTATATCGCTTCATATTGTGTCTTTTTGGCCTGGTGGGGATATTACACTTGTTCCGCGCCCTAAGCAGATTCCGTGTATTGCGGCTGGACCCGATTCCGGTAAGTCGGCTTAGTTTTTCCGTGATCCTTCAGCTAGTTGAAATAGTGGCCTGACCTCTGAACCCAAGGAACTGAATGCAGTCAAACAGTCCAGTCCAAACAAAAACCGCGTATTCTAATTGGCTGCCTGGTGATCAACCAAACACGATGAGTTTCTGAAAGCGTCCACGGTTAACAAAGCGGAAGAGAAACGGTAGTTATCAGCGGTGGTGTACAAATGCAACTTTTCTGAGTTCCTTCACTGATACGTCCTGCAATTATTTTCTCGTGCGCAAGTTCAGCTAGCTTTCCGTAGATTCCATCTGCGTTTAAGATCCGACTAAAAACGAGAGATCGAGATGAAATTCAGCGGAGTCTCCCGTCAATACGAACTTCCTTTGCAAGGGGTTATACGTCACAACCTATGTAAAATTCAGGTTTCAATTGTGAGACAAGACTGAGGGAAATTATGAAATCAGGCAGTAAATCAGGCAGTAGGCTATTCAGACTATTCATCAGATGGGTATTCAGTTGAAAACTAATCTTGGTTTAACGCTTACGAATCTTGTAAGTAGTATGTCATTTTGTGTGCGAAACAGGTGTAAAAGGCTTCAAACTCCGAATTTCAGAGTGTAAGACTCTCCTGGATATGTGATGATGAGCCAAGTTCGTGGAACTGGTCGCAAGGAACGGTTGCTCAAGGACCGGTTTTATCGCCTACAAGGATGCTCAAATGCACAATCTATACAACCAATCTACGCTTCATGCTTCAGAAGCTGCCCTGTGATAAGACAACAGTTGAGCAGTGGATGACTCTGTCTAGCCACTTTGATTTGTATATATCAGTTTGTTCGTTCGTGTGGGTTACAATCACGGAGTTTCCAGTGAGTGAGTGCGCACCTGAGCATTTCGAGTTCCAATGGACCTCGCTATGTGAGCAGAAAAACCTGGGCGCTGTGTGTGGACTTCCAGCTCGACTGATGGAAGGTCACGCGCAACACATGAGTGGTCTGGTTTTGGCTCACATAGTAGGTACAAGATACCACGGTGTGTTTAATTCAGCGATTCCTTCCTCTCCCGATTTCGGTAACCCGAGTCCAGTCAGCCTTACCTTACTAGAAAGGATTTATGGCAAAGCCTTGTTCTTGTGCATGACAGCTTGTTCTGGAAATCATCTATGAAGCCAGTTGGTGCTAACATTTACGTCATTTAAATGGAGACACTTCTAGACAGCCATCACCCGAAACCTAATTCACTATCATCCTTTAATTGAACAAAACTAATCGCTTTTTCTCACAAAGGGAACTACTCACAAGGTTGCTGAAAACTCTTCGACAGCCCACGACCGGTTTCGCCCTTCCGCTCAGGACTCATCATGTAGGCGCAGTCCCCATGTTTCCGTCAACCGTATGTTCTACTTGAACCAAAATTGGACTGTTTTCGAGAAATACACTCATTTGCAAATCAATTTGGTTTTCACGACAGACTCAACTGAATCTCCCGTTTGTGATANGAGAAATACACTCATTTGCAAATCAATTTGGTTTTCACGACAGACTCAACTGAATCTCCCGTTTGTGATATTCTACAACTGAATGTGCTTCACACAGGTCGCCTCATGTTTCAGTTGATGGAAACTCGGGGACTGCACCTACCGGATGAGCCCCAAGAAGGGCAAAACCAGTCGTGAGCTTTCGAAGAGCTTTCAGCAACCTTGTGAGTAGTTTTCTTTATGAAAATATACTGTGATATCTCGAATATCGTGCCAACTAGAACATGGAGTGGTTTGTTCGCAGCACTTTCAGTTGTGGAATATCATAAACGAGAGATTCAGTTGAGTCTCTCGTGAAAGCCAAATCGAGTTGCAAACGAGTGTATTTCTCAAAAACTAATCGTTGTTTTGTTCTTACAACAGACACCAATCATTAGCAATTACTTTTCACCGCCGAGGATATTGCGATCATAAAAGTGAACCTATATCGAGCTTGCCGTGTATACTTCACTGCCGGTTATCCACTCGCTGAATGAAGCGGCCTTGTCATACCTTCGCAGTCTGTAGTGAAGTGTCTCGGAAATTTCGTACTCATCAAATTGGAGTAGCTCATCTGTTAGTCGCCTTGAGTGGCTTATCTTGGGAAATGGGTGTTTAGTGTCCTACAGCGAAACCCGGCAGGTAAAACGAGCGAAGAAATGATTATTTTTAAATACATACTATGCAGGCATTGCATAGTCCACTGATGATCGTGTTTGAGAAGTACGCCTTCCTGATGAGCCAAAAAATGAAGAATCCGATATCGGGTTGTCAAAACTTATTATTTCAAATATTTTTTCAATCATACATTGCTACGGAATCTCCATTGTTACTCTGCTGTTGACTACGGCTATCCTCAAGGAGTCTCTAACCGAGTCGAATGCACCATGCGTAAGAACTCGATCACCAAGTGATTCTGTTCGTTTCCTTTACAATTTCGAATTTATCGGCTCATTCTATAGGGATTTCATCTTGCCAGTGCAGCTGCTGAAAAGCCAAGGAGCACTGTGCAGCTTGTCGATCCTTGTCGACGACCCTCAGTAGTGAACATCTCATGCATCCGGGAATAAGTAACTTCGTAGACGGACTGACTGTGACTTTACTAGCCATAAAAAAACTCCAACAGGCAGGTGGTTATAATTCCACTATAGACTTCAGGCTGTGAGCCGAAGTAAATTAGGGGCAGGAGGCCCACATGGCCCAAACTAAAGGACATCTGAAACATTTTCCTACTTCGAATCTAAACCTTTTTTTGATTGAAAAATCCTTCGGTAGAGGTGGCATAACTGTGACAATCTTTTTTGAATGCCTTCCAGATGCTGCTGTTGAGATTGTCAAAACAGAGATAATATTTTTCGGAAAGCCGAGGTTGAATCCCGATCACGGATCTTTTTTTCGGCAGTTTAGAGACTAAATGTTGGGCCATCTCGATCTTCAACAAATAAACGCAAACAGCAAGGCTGACAACACCCATTTGGCTACAATCAAATCAAAGGAATACTTCTACTACTGAATACGCTGGATTACGGATGGCAGTGTGATGCACTGCCGAGAATCGTTGTATCCTTTTGCGATTCCAGTCCGTATCTGTCCAAGTTTTGATCGGTCCAACAACCTTCTAGACACTACGAATAGAGCTTGGTCAGACAACATCTGGCTGATCAGACGAAACTTTGATTATAAGGGTCCCTTTGTTTCACTGAGGCTGTTACCTTATAGGGTTCAGAAGTCACGTTTGGTCTTTGTTCCAAGAAAACCCTAGCTGACTAAATGAGTGATCTTCACAAGAAGTTGTCGAAAATGTTGGCCTGTCAATTCGCCCACTGTCAGTGCATAAATTAATATACAATGCTTTCATACACACACACACACACCTGTTTTGAACTTTTTTCCAAATCTAGTTTGCTCCACAGTATGACGCAATCTACCTCGCAGGACGGAAAACAAACCATCTGGAACCTATCGAACTGTTCACAGTGATCAACGGCGCCTGTGCAGCCAACCGTGCGGTGGTCTCTCTAAAAAGCATGCTTTATTTCCAAGGTCGATACAAAACGGCTTCAAAACGCTGTCCATCAACTGTGAACCGACCGCCCGGTATTGTTTGTCGAAACCAGTCTGTTGAGCCGTACAGACCTGTTCGACTTCATTGGGTGGCGGATGTTGCAGCGAGGGATCGCATTATCTACATATTCGATGAATGGCATCCTTCGGATGTGCATATATATTTGTATAACTATGAACGATTTGTGGTGAGTGTTTATTAAAATATCGTTTTCACTTTAAGATTCTTCAAAGTCACACAGAGGCAAGATTTTTTTCAAGGTGTCCGGAAATTACTTGCAACGTTTCGCGAAGTCAGCCTTAACGCGTCCGGATGATAGTTTAATGCAGATTTCAGGCATACCAAAGGATGAAAACATCTAGCATACGCGCAACTGTGTGACTGCTTTCCAGAATCTGAGCCGTCTGCTCAGTTATCGGGACGCCCATTGAACGTTTTACATGATAAGCTGACCTGACACATTTGATTACATCGATGGGACATCCCTGTGCACTGAACTGATGTACCAACAGCTGAATGCCCCTTACATGAGGAAGTAAGACGTTTAGTAAGTAAGAAGGTATAAGCATAAGGGGGAGCTCCCAAACCACGCCCAGCTAACGTTCCATAGTTATCGAGTCCGACAAGTGAACATCTGGGAGCCACAGTGAATGTGAGGGATGGCTTGATCATAGCTAACCGGTGCTGGCTATTACTCATTTTGGGCTGTGCGACAGTGGTCACGGAGAGTCAACTGCTGCACCGTCGTGGGCCCACAACTCCGGAGTTCCAAAGGTGTTGGGGATGGTCATTAGTGGATAGGTAGACATATGAAGTACTACAAATAGACGGAAACCGAATTCGAACTCAAAACAGCATCCTACAGTGTGGTGAGATGAACATGAAATAAGTTTGAGATAACAGTGAAAGTGGTAGTGATCTGTTTTCGAAAAAGTTTGCTGACACTCGGTGGATTTGTTGCTGGGCAACGTTTCGCTTTTGACACAAAAGCTTCGTCAGGCCAAGTGACTAGGTTCCGAGGTTGGTCGAGATTTAAGGCGGAAGGAGAATCAATCAGCTAAGTCAAGCTAAATCTCTGTTGGGTGTCGGCCGAGGGATTTTAGTGTGTTAGAGTGGTTGAACAAGTGTCGGGTCGATGGGGAAACCTACATGTGTGATCTGGTTGTGACGTAATTAGGTTGGTTTTCCGGTGACAAGCGCTAACGAATGTCTGCTTTACTAGAATGATGATGATCACAATAGTTATAAGCACTTGATAAAACTAAATACAATGAAAAAAGGGCACAAACCAAAAAGTGACTTGGCTTTTGAGAACAACTGTTGAGAGTTCCTGAGTGAAGGTCCAGACGCGCGACATGTCTTTACTGCACGATAGCTGCTACATGTGTTCCGCAGTTGGCCGTTGAGACTCGTGGAGCTCGGCTGGCATCCTGTACTGTGTGCGCGAGTGTGTTTTTGGACCGAGTTGCATGCCTATTTAGTGTGTGCAATGTGCAGAGAGGGTTTGAACGAAGAGGAATACAACCTGACCTGATATGATTGAAGCAATGGGTAGCCGCGTAAACAAAATGGATGGGAAATTGTAGTGTACATGTTGTCGGCTGAGGTCGCAATTGGGGAGGAATTGTCACGTGGTTGGCGTGTTTGTGACGCGTGGTCTAGTGATTAACCTCTACAAAAGTCACTAACTAGATGAACCAAAAATAGTGATGAAAAAACCAAGGTTCCAATAGGCTGGAAAGGTCTTACTGCGTTGATAAGTATCGAAGGGTGTCTATCACTGCTGTGTACTGCATAGACGTGCATAAGCAAGACTTAATGATCTAACGTTGGGAATATGGGAAGATTCACGGGTTCTTCATCTGAGAGTCTATCTTCCAAGTGAAGCAAGCCTATGCTGAAAAGCGGTTGTTTCACACCAATTCGGAACCATAAGCACTAGGCATTTCACCAAACTCAGCGAAGTTTCCAATGGCTAACCGTCTGACCACGAGCGGTTACTCATGAGTACGATCATCGTTCGGACTTGAACAACGCGCAGAAAAACTTCGTTACATCCACTTGATAATGCCCTGTCGAGAGGGTAAGCTTTCGACAGAATAGTCATTACTGACTTGTCGGCCACACTACTGATTACTCACTCTGGGGGAAATGGTCTGATCTCAAACTACTAGCCTCGGAGTTGTGATTTCGAATCACTCTGTAGAACTGTGCAATGCACGCTATGCGGCTCCCTACCAAGGACAGAACAGCTGTACACCGTTTCTTAGGCTTTCTGCACAGACTGACTGTACTGGGATACTGGTGGCTTGGGTGCTGCATGCATTGGTGACTGATCTGTTGCCCTAGCGGTGCTGCCCTGTCGAGAGGGTAAGCTTTCGACAGAATAGTCATTACTGACTTGTCGGCCACACTACTGATTACTCACTCTGGGGGAAATGGTCTGATCTCAAACTACTAGCCTCGGAGTTGTGATTTCGAATCACTCTGTAGAACTGTGCAATGCACGCTATGCGGCTCCCTACCAAGGACAGAACAGCTGTACATACACCGTTTGGCTTTCTACACAGACTGACTGTACTGGGATACTGGTGGCTTGGGTGCTGCATGCATTGGTGACTGATCTGTTGCCCTAGCGGTGCATATGGTTCTTTGAGTCAAAACGTACGGCGCAGATTTAGGTGCATTTCTGAGATTGATTTGGTGAGCCTACACCATGTGAGGTGACTAATTGCAGTTAGAGTTATCGAATAAAGCCGACCAACCATTACTGATACAGAACCCAAAAAGTGTCGTTTTTCTTGAGCTCTTTTTGCTCAATTTGGTGTAAATCGGATCACAAACAGACAAAATGCATCGCTTATTTTATAGGAGTCAAAAATGAGCAAACTAATTTGTTGTAAAAACCATAATCGTTCCAATGAATCAATAATTACTTTGGATTTACTCATTACCCAAACAAATTACTTTGGACCTTTGGCCTCTACTGATGATTTCTTGCTGCATAAAATGTAGATCCCCAGTGTCATGCTCACTTCGATCCTATGGCACCTTTCTTGAGAAGTTGTGTTCCGAAGGCAAAATGTTTGCACACAAGTGGCTCCATTAATCCCCATCTGTCAAGGCTTCTCGGAATGTGATCGTATTGAGTTCATGACTCCCTGTTTCGATGTTGCCTCTGCCTAGCATCGTTGGTATATTGCCTGAAGTTAACGATCCTGAAAAGTTACAAGGAGCTTGAATTCCGCAAGGGCGAGACTACGTTGTTCGGATAGGGGGTAGTTTTTTTCCGAAGCACTTTATACATGAGTCATTTTGTCCGAAACGCATTCATAACCGTATGAATAGTTTTTGGCGTATCAGGAATTATGCCAAGAAAAGCGTTACTTATCCTTACCTGTGGCTATAACGATAATATGTGATCTTGGGCTGCTGTCAATATACGTACTACTATATACTACTATATACTGTCAGTAATAACTATCTTAATAAATTCCACTTGATTGCATGCTGATTGCTTGAGGTAAGCGATAAAATGTGATCTTGGGCTGCTGTCAATATACGCACTACTATATACTACTATATACTATCAATAATAACTATTTTAGTAAATTCAACTTGATTGCATGCTGATTGCTTGAGGTAATTAGCCATTTCTGGTCCTCTGTCAGGCAAGTTGTCGAATCGGCGTTCAGGCGCGTCCATTATCCTCTGGTAGGATAGTGCTTACGTGTCCGCCTCGCATACGAGTTGTTAGGAGTTCGAAACCCGGCTTGGTAGGGGACTTGCAGAAAATTTCAAACTGTGTTCTATTCTGTTACACACCGAGCAGCTCTCCATGCCAAGTATATACTGGCTTTTTCATCTTTCCGCAAACTAGTTTCCCTTCGAGAAAAATCGCTTAGGCGACTTTTGGATTGGTCTTTAAAAGAGGGCAAGTTGAAACTGAAATTGGGTAAACATTTTTTTCATGGAAGAAACTACTCACAAGGCTGCTGAAAACTCTTCGACAGCCCACCACCGGTTTCGCCCTTCTTGGGGTTCATCAGGTAGGCTTAGTCCTCGAGTTTCCATCGACCTTATGTTCTACTTGGACTTTGTTTGAGAAAGGCAGGCTGGATCGCGTTGGAACCATTCAACGCAACTGCGCAAGAGCGCAGCTGCAAACAACTGCAGTGAGTGTGGGCCTATGGTATGATTTGGTATGATCTCACAGAGGATCTGCTACAAGTTGCACTGTCCAGCATAATCACTCACGGGATTCTCACCTTACGAGTGTTTTCAAATGGCACTCAAGTTGAACTGAGCAAACTTGTCCTAATCAGCCCACAGGATTGGGCTTTAGGATGTCCGGTAGTTTCCAGATAGTTGTAGGTTAGCAAACTTGTCCTACAGGATTGCCCACAGGATTGGCCTTAGAATGTCCGGTAGTTTCCAGATAGTTGTAGGTGACAGTCTAAATCCAAAAACCACTAGTTACTAGGAGCTTCGAAGTAATACTCGGTTACACCAGTTGGGGACTCATCATCCACGCTCAGTACAAGTGGTTGAAATCATAGTATGTCAGCTTGAACGCTGACGTTTTGAAAGAGTTTATTCACTTTGGAAATCTTGAGTTTTATGGAGAAAATCAACATCTCGTCCGCCAAAAGCTGTTTTCCCTTCTGTGCGCCTCAACAGGGTTTACGACATGGTTGGCAAAGATGTAGGTTTGAAGGGTTTGACGCGCGCAACGTTTTTTGGATCGTCACTTCTCCCAAAGTGGACGGTGCCGTTGTAACTAGGATGAACTGAAGGTGAATCGTTCTGTTTTCTTGAGGAGTAAGAATCACGGTGGTTGCCCACTAAACGAAATAGATAATCGATATCGTGAGTGGGTTAAGTTAGCCAAGGGGCGAGATAGTTCATTGGTTGGAGTGCGGATTCGCTAACTGGAAATTACGTGGTTTGAACTCGACCTTTGCATCTCGACTTCCACTGTCTAGTCTTGGGCAACGTGACAGTATCCCAGCCCTCGTGCTCCCTTTTGGTCCAGTGGGAGTTCAGCACCGAAAGGCTGCTACGGCTGGACGATTTATGTTAGCCTGCTCCAATAGCTGTCATTGCATCTCTTTGCGGAGACCCAGTGTGTATACACCGAACACGCCCTTCACTCACAGAATGGTTGTTATAGCCTGCCAGAGATGAGAAATGACTAGTGCAGTTGAATAACGTAGACAGAAGAGATAGTTCGAGATCAATGTATTGATAGCTGTGACGCAAGAATGCCGTGCTTGTAAGCCGACCGCAACACTGAGTTTAGTTGTCCTCATAAAATGAGCTGGCAAGCAATTTTAAACGATGACAAATGGCGGGTAGTCTGTATGAAGATGACTTCCACCGACCGATCAGATTCTTTCAGAATGGAGAATGTGGGGCTGGTACCAACTGAATAACAGAAATTCAGTCATCGATAATAGCGGAACTCAACCACATATTGGTCATCAATCAGAAGAAGAGGTGCTTTCTTCCTTTGTCCACTTGTTCCGAATCACAGTCCACAAAGTAAAGAATAAAATCAATGGAATGCATGAAGAGCTCTCTTTGTACATCAAGTGTTTAATTATGTCGCATATGCGCGGGACCATAATTTTTCTTTCAACATTTGAATGATTTAGGAAACCCCTAAGAGAGGATCATCATTTTTGATGCCATCGGCTGTCCAGTAGTTGTGTCACACGCACCCTCTGGATGTTTGGTTGCAGGTTCGAATTCCTATTAAGGTTTCTTTGATGAAATTGCTTCGTTAGTAGTATACTGTGTGTCCGATATATAATCGTGTTGGCAAGCGACCCTCCAGCTAGTAAGTTGAACTATTCGCCTTTGTGCCATGAGCAAATGATCAGCGACTTGATTAACTCACTCAGAGGAAGACTAATTCAAAAGCCGAACGAAATTTCCATCTGAGATGAGGTAGCCAATAGGTGTGATTGATTCGTGTGACGCGGTCTTCTGACCGAAGAATAAGCCGCGCCATATTCCGTCCAAGTGGGGTGAATCGCACTGCTGCTCAGCCGCTCGTGACCGAAGGATTAACTTTTCAACATATCAGTCGGGAGGTTCGAAAGTCTCTTGGTTTCGCGCAATTATGATGGTTCCAAAGCTAGTCAAAACAGCTCTAGAATGTTCCTCGGCTCTCCAAAACGGACTGGCTTCACTGACCGAGACCAAATTAGAACAATCGGGTGTTGTTGTAGTGTCTATGGCTCTGTTGGAACCGGTTGACATTTTCTGTCATGACAATCGATTAAAACATGTGACTTTTTCCGGACATTCTATTCGCCGATTTCCTATCGATTTTATCGTATTTGAATGATCCGTTTAAACAGGGCGGGAAATGTGAGATAGTCATAGACGTAAGCGACACCTAGTCCTTTAGGATACTCATGGTTATATGACATTAGTTTTTGCATATTTGTCTATCAGGATGGTGATGAACAGTGATTTATACGATTATCGGTAAAAATTATCGTAACCAACTGACTCAGCTGTATTTACTCACGTCTCCTGACTAATGTGTGAATCAGTTTTAAACAGCTCGACTGTTCCCACCAAATGATCAGCACTAGTTGAGGGGGACTGGTAACAGCTAGTACAATAGCTAGTAAGTAAATCTTCCTACCTCCTCATAGTTTCTGATCGTTGCTGGTGAACGTTGCCGCTGAACCAAGTGGAACACAGATATAAAGCTGATCAAGAAAGTATTGTCGGCTAATGTGAAAAACATCGCATCTAGTTGATTGGTGGGGGGTGACTGGCCAAAAGAGTTGACCGTTTTTGTGTAGAGAGAAATTAGTAGTGTGTTTGTCGAAATCAGTCCAATTTGAATTCAAGCGGAACAAAAGGTTGACGGAAACTCAGGGACTACGTCTACCTGGTGAGCCCCGAGCAGGACGAAACCAGTCATGGACTGTTGAAGAGTTTTCAGCAACCTTATGGGTAGTTTCCCTCATGAAAATCCTGGGTGTTGTGTCTGCTTCAGCTGAAAGAAAAACCAGTTCCGTTTGTTCACACACATAAATCGATTTGAATGATTCCGCGGACTTGACCTCAGGAAACGATTTAAGAGCACATTGTCAGTGAACTTTCGAAGTCCCTCTAGTGGACACTTTACACGATTAGCATGAATTCGTTGTGACAATCACCTAGCCTTATGACCGATGTGGCTTTTGGAACATGTGCAAACAAGGGTCTCACCTTATTAAGGACAGGGTGAGAGGAAGCCACCGATACTTCAGATTCGTACCAAATTTGGACAGAAGTAACCGTGGATTGCAAATCAGCCGTCGCGTGTCGCCATTAATCAGAGCGCTTTACTTGATGCGTACAGTAAGGCGGATAATCGAAAACGTGCCACTGCTGACATCTGCTTTCCTCCTCTTTGAACCACTTGCTCTTCTGCCCCTCCTCGCTCCATTTCTAGCGACATCTCCGTAGGCCCATTTTTAAAGACGGCCTGATCTGTTTGCTACCCATTACCGCTATCTGGAATACGTACAATCGCCTGGGTAGCTACGGCTGCAGATACTGTGAAGTCATCCTTCAAACTCCGTCGCTTAGAGCCCCTGCCATCCTTTAACGTTCGTATTCTGGAACGATCTGGACGACAGAGTGTTCTTACATGCAAGTTGGACTTCGCTCCGCTTTGTTGTGTTCTGTCTGTCAGAAAGAAGAACTCGAGACTCTGGTAGAGTTGGTGAAATGATCTTTTCAGTCCTCTGCTCTCCTTTCCGGTTGCGCATCACTGGTAATCCAGAAACCTTTGTGGCTGGTTCTGCTGAAATACTGATATTCCAAGCCACAGGGATAAAGAGTTTGTTTTTGAATGGTTGTCCTCCTTGCGGCTCGTTTGACAAAGTCCCTAAGAGTATCCGATATTAGCTTTCTATTCATCATATCAAACTTCACCACAAAAAGTCCGTAGTCTGGTGCACTCAAATACGGCTTTCACGGTGCTTTGAGTAACTTGTCGCGGCGGGATGAGAGCTCGGGTTTGGTTGTGGTTGCCAGGGGTGCGAATGAGCAAGTAGGTAGAATCAGCGTTTCTGATGTTCAGTTTGGTGGCCAGTTACGTGCCGGTCACAAACTGCTTCTGTGCAGTACTAACTTCCGAAAAAATGAAACCGCTAAACCACGTTGTACGGACAGCATGCAAGCCATCCTTTAACGCAGACAGACCACTTTATCATTAGCTTTCAGTGGCGTGGACTGGTCGCTGACTGTTGCTCGTTCTGGAACACCTACGCGGATTCGGATCATACGCTTGTTTGCCGCTGCTTTTGTTGCACTTTTCGAGGGCGCACACCTCGCCTGGACGTTGGGAAGCTGTTGGACCTTGATTTGAAGCAAGTTGGCCGTAAACACCTACTGAAGTCTCCTTCGAATAGGGCATCTTATGGCATTGCCGCTAACTAGAATGTACTGCGCAGAACTCTAGGATGATGCGCGCTTCACAAGTGGAATCGCTCAACCAACTAGCCCCAAGCACCGGATCTAGTGAGGCTATCTAAACTTGCTCGAATTTCGGAGCCATATTCCTTCACGTCAAGTCTACAATCCCACTCGACGAACTCTTAGGTTTCAGGTTAGAATGAGAATCCGCGCGGACTTCGTGGATCCAGAAAGCCGAACAGGTGGAGGATGCCGGAAGCTCTGGGAGTGCGTGCGTCAGCTGTTCCAGTTGATACGCACAACAGGCCCTGCGGTGAGTGAAGCAATCACTGATAGAAACGATGCCTCTTTATCCAAAATTGAAAAACGCCTAACTCGTTGGGTCGAGTACTTGCAAGATCAATTTAACTGGCCACCTGCAGCTTCTGAGCCGAATTCCGGGCTCACTGCACAGTGTTGGACACTAAACTGGGAATTCTTAACGTTGTCCGAGGCTTTTTGCATCTCAAGCGTCATCTTTCACTCAGTCCCTGCCTTTATCTTGAATAAAGAAAACATCCTAACCAAAATTAGTGAATCACTAGTGGTGCCCTTTTTCAAAGTGTGCGCCCGCAGTGAGTGACCACGTGATCATTCTTGCGATTGGCCGAACGCACTGGACGCTGTGGCACCTAGCCGATAGTAGCGGTGTTCATGCTGTTAGTTTCCACTACCAATATTGTCCGATTTAGCGTTGGAGGTGAATTCACTGTCGACGGGATGTGTCCATTGTTTCTCTGTGATTCAGTTGATCGATTGAAGTATTTATATCCGAATTATTGATTGCTCTTGTCATCGCTTTCTGGTTATCTCCGTGAACAGGCTTCTCCACGCTTACGTATTCCCCGTTTCAAGAATCTCTTAGCATAGACAGTAACCAGAATGCAGTGATCTAACATCTTTCTTGTTAGAAACTACAGATGAGAAAACTACCTTGAAGAAGTAGGTCACAAGTAATCCTAGTTTGCTTTGAATGTAATGTCACCCCCTCTCAAGGTGGAAGTTTAGATACATGGTTATCTCATCCAGGTCTTTGAGTTGATCACCACTTGGGGACGATAATTTTTGACCCTGCTACGGCTTTATGTTGTCCTGTGAGGATACACAGAATAAAACAGTATGCGGGACCATATGCCCTCTTGGTCACTGTGCTACATTTGATTCATCAATTTTGACTGATTTTGGGAAACTTTAACCATTTCTCTCATCCTTAATGGTTTTTTTCATCACTAGAGTTATGTCGGTGCAATCCCAATAAAACACTACGCCGGGGTACCTGCCATGTACAAAATACTCGTCCCCTATATTCTTCCAGAAGAGGTGACCAAAGTAAGTGCGTTTCTTTTCAAATCTCGTACGCGTTCATTCATTCAAAGTAATCTATGACTGTTCGACACAACAAACCAGCTGTCTTTCTTGGTTTTTAGGTCATTGTTCTGGACTCTGACGTGCTATTCAACCACAACGTTCTCGATTTGTGGAAGGAGTTCGGACTTTTCAAGCCACAACAGGTGAGGGTTTCTGGTCTTCCTATCCTACTGGGTTCGAAATCGCACTGGACCCAACTCACCCACTTGAACAACAGTCAGTCACGACCGGCCAAATTATTATCAGTCAAACAAGTAACACATTAAAAAAGACTCAAGAGTGTACAAGTAGTGTTAAAGTAGAACATAAGGTTGACGGAGACTTGGGGACTGCGCCTACCTGATGAGCCCTAAGCGGAAGGGCGAAACCGGTCGTGGGTTGTCGAAGAGTTTTCAGCAACCTTGTGAGTAGTTTCCTTCAAAAGTGTACAGTTCTTGAAAGTAGATTTTGCATTCTTTGTGAGTCACGCACGAGGAAAATGATGCGGGCGACATATAGAAAAGCACGTTTTTAGGGGATACACAAAGGTAGTGTTTTGATTTAAGATCTCACAGTAACTGCAACGGAAATGGACAGTATGTAGTCACTGTTTTGGAACAGAAACTAAAAGCGAATCGTCAAGCCATTAAACAGGCGATGTCTAGGCCAAGGTTGGTTGGTATACCTTCAGCCCTTCACTCACAAAATGATCGCCTTAAGTGAAGTGATGAACACTACAAAAAACAGTTCAGCTGGTCTCATTCATCCCAACTGCCGGAAGAATCTAGCGATACTGAAGGGAACATCGACACCAGTCCACCATTAACAACTGAAGTCCAGCGTCAAGTGCCGAGGCAGAACAGATCCTATCTTTACCTCCATGCCATAGACTCTAGTTTTTTCTGGTTTCTTTCTACGCTCGCTTTGAAAAGCATTCAGATGCCTGAAGAAAGATACATAGTGGATTCGGATGACTGAACGGCGAAAAGGTACTGACAAAGATGTGATTTGGTATCGAGCGGAAACAGCTTTTCACGTGACCTGATCCAAGAGATGGGCACAGGTAACTTCATTATTCAACCTGAAAGAAGTTTCAAGCCGGTACTGATGACGTACCAAATTACGCATTGCTTGTCGAATGTTGCCTTCTTTTGGAGCGGAAGGCCATTGATTCAAACTGGACAAAATAAATTAGCGAATATACACTCATTTGCAAACTAATTTGTTTTTTTTTCTCTCGAGAAAATCACCTGGAACCCAGATGAATCTCTCGTTTGTGGTGTTTTCATGAGTAGCAGATTACAAAGTTATACATGTATCGCAATATCTCGAATAGCGTAGCGACTAAAACATGAGGCGGCCTGTGTGCTGCACATTCAGTTGCCTGGAAACATAACAAACGAGAGATACAGCTGGGTTCTAGGTGGGTCTCTCGAAAAAACCAAATTAGTCTGCAAGTGAGTGTATATTCGCTAATTTCGTGCAATTTTAGTTTCAAGTAAAACATAAGGTTGGTGGAAACTCGGGGAATGCGCCTACCTGATGAGCCCGAAGTGGAAAGACGAAACCGGTCGTGGGCTGTCGACGGATTTTCAGCAAATTCATGAGTAGTACATTACAAAGAATGACAAAAGGAAATTATGAATCGTGAAGCTACTTCGTAAAATTCTTACTTGGTGACTTGTGGGCGGTCAACGTAATAAAACAATCGAAAGCCAGTCCAGTTACAACGTATTCGTACATCTGTTATGGACAAAAAACTTCGCACTGTTTAAAATAACTTCAAGTGCGACAGAATTGAGGGATGGAAGCAACGTAGAGCCTTCAGAGATTCAGAAAATTCTGAAGTACTTGCGGGAATTGAATGGGACACCAGACAACGCGGATAGTTTTAGGTGCAAGCAGACAGCCTTTTTTCATTCACAGTGAACCAAATCTATGGACCGACCGTCCAGTATTTTCAGCCCAGCCAACTGGCGAAAAAATCAATGTTGATCGAATTTTGACAAATTGCAAATCACGTCACATGACTGAACATACGGTGAGTGGTTACTTTGTTGAGTTACCCACCGTGGGAGAGCTACCGTTAACAAAATGAAAAGGCACTCAAAAAAGAGGGCTCTACTACGCAGCTGTGTCGGATAGACAGACTCCTCTTGCTTCTTTGTGAAACCTGAAAGATGGCCTCCTGTGCACAGCGGACATAGTTTTGGATGGATACTGTCCTGTTCGGTCTGTTGGCGGTTAACTTTGTGGATGAAAGGCTCGTGAAGAAGGCGTTGGTTTCGATACCGCCGAATTCAAAATCGACTTAAATTTCTGTTCAAGAGAGGCAGAGTGAACCAAGCCGGTCGGACTGTTTTCGGACTCCATGAAAATTATACATATGTATATACGTATATATACATATATATGTATATTTGTATAAATAATGATCATTCTAACTCATCTGTATAATTTCGGGTGCATAAACGAGGGTCTCATTGAACGACAATGTTGAAACAAATTTTCAACACCGTTCCATTTTCAATTTGGCTTGCACGAAATGTCCGCATTGATTTGTTGAACCCCATACAGCAATGTCTGCTAATCGCGCTCACACTTTGCTGCACAGTGCATCAAGCAACAAACCAGTTTTGAGACAAAATTGCTACTTGTACAGCCTGCGTAAGTGAGCATCTATTCATACGAACCTGAGTAGTTTGTCATACATGTTTTTATCGATCGGTCGACCGGCGGTCAGCTTCTTTCTTATTCTTTGGACACAGTTTTCATCCAAACATCGTTATGCTGAGATCGCTGGTCCAGCAATGGGTCCTTTCAAAAGAAGCAAAGCAAAGCAGACACACGCAGCCGTATACGACAGAATAGACGGTTGGTTTTTAGCTTACTTATTGAGTGATTTGGTGTACAGGGTCCACGTAAACGGAGACCTCCACAAGCTTGTTGACTGCGTCTCACCGATGCTAACAATAATCGATCTGGAGACCAAGAAAACTTCCACAAACACGATCGAAAAAAGACAAATTTATTAGGCGATTTCAGCATAATGTCAAAATCTCTGCAGACCAGGCTATGCTGTCAGAGAAGCGAACACATCCTCGTCGATTTTTAGAATTCATCGATCAGAAGAGGGTGCCTGTGAGCAGTTCGGAATATTCCTCGACCACGGACCGTATTGACGGTACATTACAAGACGGAAGTTTTCGGACACACAGCTCTCTCACGACAGTGCCTGGATAACCTTCAAGCTTGATTGCGCCATAATTTGTCACCAGCCTTCCCTGCTTTGGGTCAATCACGGCATCTGTGCCCTTGAGAAAATCAGCTCCCAGTATTGTCTGTTCTACGTCTGGGCTGATCAGGAACGCGTGCTGCACGGACTTGTCGCCTAGGCGTATCGAGTGCGTTGACAGTCCGTCAATCTTCAATCGATATCCGCCAACAGATCTCACGGCTAGCGCGCACGGTCTGCGTTCAGCTTGGTTCCCTCTTAGCCTCAGTGATACGCCTGCTCCCGTATCAATCAAACATACATCCATTTTTCTGTCTACCTCGACAACGGCTTGAATGGTAGCCTGTGTCAGTGCGCTAATCGCCACCCATCCAGGAAAAGAGGAGTACTCTAAAGTTTTATTGTGTACAAGCGATCGGGTACGGAGACACTGATTCTTCCAGTGGCCAGGCTTGCCACACATGTAGTACCGGCTGGTTCGAGCGTGCCTGCGCGATTCCGCCATCACGGCTGCAAGCTGTTCGGTGAGTTTGTCCACCCTGGTCTGCAGTTCCTCCACTGATGCAGCATCCCTGTTCTCCTGCGACTGCAAAGTGGCCAGTGGTTCCTGGGGCAATTCCCTGGCCAGACGCACCAGCTCCTCCACACTCAACTGGCCAGTTGCTTGTGCCAATTGCAACTGGGCACCAAGCGCGGGCTGCACACCTTCGACGAACTGGCCCGACAGCAATTTGTGGCACGACACTCCATCCACCCCCGGCAAAGCGTGATCCAACAACTGCTGCAGGCCGGCGAAGAACACGGTCGGGTCAGATCCAGGCACCGTCCTGGCCGTCTTGAACCGCCTCATAGGCTCCTGACGATCGGCCGGCGTGTGGAACTCCGCAGCGAAGGCCTTCTTCCTTTTCTACTGGTATCATCATTTCATACGGTATCATTGGCTAGACTGTCTATGGGGCAGTGATTTTACACTGAATCATAATGACAGGGGAGGATCGCTTAACCAACATCTGGAGCTCTATTACCTGACTCTATGGACGATGCTAAACCACCGTAATAAAGCCCTGGGTCTGAGTATCCGTCGCTCTAGAAAAATCCAGCAGTGATACCATGTTTCGGCAAGTGCTTTGAACCAGGAGGTCGCGGGTTCGGGAACTTCTAGAATTCCGTAAGATGCACACTACGGATGTTTCCTAATCAGGATAAAACAGCTGTACAATGCCTTTCGACCTTTCAGCATAGACCGGGTTCATCTGGAGGGCTTGATCTCCGTCAAAGTTTCCAACTCTCCTCGCCTCACTAAAAACCCTTTGGATACTACCACTGAAAGGAAGAAGGCCTTTGGTGCGGAGTTACTTATTAGGAAATGCCAACTGACCGGGTAGAGACCATTGGACAGGGAAGCAAATCTCTCATTTGCATCACATTTACAAAAACTGGACATCCATCTTCTCCTGAACGCGTATTCTTGAACTTTCCTGGATATTCATTGACTCCATTCATTCATTGCTCAAATAAAAGCAAATGCTAAAAAGCGAATCGACAAATTCCGCAACAGATCTCCCTTTTCAAGGGACACAACGCGAATTTCCAAGAGCAGCACTTACTACTCGTGTGCTTTCCCATCAGTAGTATCACCACTACACCACGATCAGAACCCTAGCACTGGTTTGTACGTTAAAATTGGAACCCGCATCCGTAAATCCTGTCATGTCAGACCCGGCCTACCCCGGACAATGACACTAAACACTGCAAGACCATGTGACTTATAAAACCAACTTAAAGCCTAGGTTTGGGGAAAAGAGGATGGATCCCGAAACAGCCAAAATCTGGAAATATATTTGCGACTTATAACTCATAAACTGCATGGTTCGCAATAATCGCTCAACTGACCGAACTTTGTTTTCTTCAAACATGATCGATAGTCGATATGTGTGAATCCTCTGATCAGTTTGACGTGATGAATGAATGTCAGCGCGCAACCAATCAGCATAGTCTAAACATGACTGCTGCTTTGATAACAAGTTCATTATACCCAAAAGTCATTTGGGCTTGGTCAAAACAAACAGTTGAGTTTGATGTCCTTCATTAATAACATAGTATTAATTCCAACTGGCGCCAAAGATCTTCCTTCGGTTAGTTGGGTGAACTGCATTCAGCTGCAACACCCATTCTTGCTAGTTTTAAACACCTTTTGGCTCTAGGTGCGTGGATAAAAAATACAGAATAGGAATATTTAAAACAGCTAGTAAAATAAGTTGACAGCTAATTGCCACGTTACTAATACGTCATCCAGATTTCGTATGAGCGTGAAAATACCATTTAAAGGACTTTAAGTAGACTGAATGAATTATTATGTCGTCAGAGGTGATCCCATCTCCCTTCACACAACATTTTTATGAATAAAGTATGCCCGATGGTCCTATAAATTCATTCTTATGGAGGGCGTTCTCTGCGGCATCAAAAAAAGCAGGGAGAAAGCGTCGGATCATGCGGTATCTTAGATAGCACAAACCATCGCAATAGTCAACAGATCTCGCACATTTCTGATGATCAGATGAGCTAAGCGATCGGTGGCTTATCATACCGTTCTGAAAAGTTTGAGGAAAGACGTCTATTGTGGCCCACGTCGCCCGGTTGAGGGGCTGTGTTGGGTCCAATAAAATCCGAAATTCGTGTTCCGAAAATCGAGCAGTACTGCTGTTTAGTTGGTCATCGGTTTGTTCGCTGAACTCGGCAATTTTGTCGTAAACGCTTCGTCAGCAGTGAATCGTTTGGAAGCGATGAGCAGAGTGGCGCCGCTGGTCATGGGTTGAGCAATGGTGCGCGTGTTAATATACCTGGTGCTGGCCACTGCTGATCTTTGATCATGACTGGCCGTTTGGTGCGATTAGCAGCGTGGCGCCGCTGGTTATACGTTGAGCAATGGTGCGCGTGTTAATATGCGTGGTGCTGACCACCGCTGATCTTTGATCATGACTGGTCGTTTGGTCAGGAGGTCTTTTTCGTCCTGCTCTAATTTGGTGGGTGATCACGTGGCCTTTGGTTTTGGCCCCTACAACCATTCGTCATCACGTAAGCATACATGAATCAGAACATAGAACAACGAAAAAACCGATGTTGATCAGGGGTCAGCCGCTGCTAGTTTCTAATAACAAGAAGCCTTGTTTTACGAAAGCATATTCAAGGTCTAACAGATGAATGTTATAACCTGAGAAATTCTATCACTTGTATGAGTACTATAAGACCAATGAAGAAAGGTTATATGGTCCTGCCCCCCCCCACCGACGCAAGACTGATTTAGCAACATACTACAAATGTACATGCTACAAATGCTTGGAAACTTTGCTTGATTAGCAGGAGAATCACAGTGTCTAACCCGCTATGCATTCGTTGTTACAGGTATTCGGTGCGGCTTGTGAACAGATAACGTATTGTCCACATTCATGCTCAGGTGACGATACAAATATTCCGGTAAGTTGACGCTGGACACAGGTGAATTTGTTTCGAATTTGTTTCTCTTTGTTACAATACTAACCGGTCTTCTATAGTGTCCGTGAGGGGGACCATTAGCCGCACAATGCTCTTAGTACAGGTATTCGGTGCGGCTTGTGAACAGATAACGTATTGTCCACATTCATGCTCAGGTGACGATACAAATATTCCGGTAAGTTGACGCTGGACACAGGTGAATTTGTTTCGAATTTGTTTCTCTTTGTTACAATACTAACCGGTCTTCTATAGTGTCCGTGAGGGGGAACATTAGCCGCACAATGCTCTTAGCTGCAACACCTTTGCGGGTGGAGTAAAACTTTTGACGCCAAAATATTGCACTTTGTCGTAATCTACACTTACATTTTTGCATTTTTCACTGAAGCAATCATACCCCTGGCAGAAAAAGCCTGATGGAGTACTTTCCTAGCATCGCGGATACCCCGGGATGCCCCGATGGGGCTCAAAATTATAGACTCGTACTCCGAACTCAATTGCCTGTCTCTTTCATTTAAACAGGGTACGTTGTGGCTTTCGAAATTTCAGTTCCATTGTGCGAATACTGACCACTGTCTGTGAGCGGGACAGAGTAATCGAAAGAAAATTTGAGGGACTCCTGGAATGCTTCCTCGCGTGAGACCCAAATCGCACGTCTTGTGTGCTGAGGTGGCGCAGTTGTGCTTTTGTGGGCCTTTTTTTGACCCCGTGGGAAGTGGTTTGTAATCAGCTCAAGTGTACAGAAAACAGTGATCAGTTAGACCGATTGGATTGTAACTCTATCAAACGAGTGGTGAAATAACGGTGTTGAAGCCGAAGTTCTCGGAAAGAGGAGAACATGCCACCTCATGTTTCAGTTGGCACGATTTTCAAGACATTGCAGAACATTATGAAAGTAAATAAATGCAAACAAGTGTATTTCTCAATGGGTTTCCTTTATTCGTAAAAAAAAACTTCACACAGACAGCACGGATATCAGTTCTTCAAAACTGTCTTCAGTCTGGTCTGTTTGCACATCATATCGCGTGCATAGCACATGGTTACAAAATTTGCATCTGGTTGGAGAAACAAACTATCTGAATGCCATTTATTAACGATGTTCTTCGTGAATGTGACGAAATACGAGATTTGGTGATCACGCGCCGAGACTGACAGTTTACCTAACCAGTCGGTCGTTTAACGTTTAATGTCTAAAGTATGTCTGCTTATTCGTTGTGCGGTTCCTCTGTTGCTAGACCAATGGGGAAAACCTCGAGAAAAATTTCCATGACAGTCAGATTATTTGCTCAGTCCGACTCAGTGCTGTCCAACTACCATACTTAAAACCTATACTTTTCTTGGCTCAAGCTAGCGAGACTGGACAAGTTAAGTTTAATTTACAACCAGAACTTACCAGTCGCCTGGATGCACCAAATTTAAGCAAACAGAATAATTTGTAGTGCCAAAAAGGAGAGTACTCATTGCTCAACACTAAACACCAAACTGTTGTCAACTGCCCTATCCCAAACTTGTTCCGGTTCATTACCGTTCCTTTGTACCGCCACGATAGCATTTTTAAGCCATATTCCTCAATAAACGCCATGGATTTAGGGTTAAGATGAATTTGTGTTCACTTCTTGTCTTAAAACTACATTTCAGTTGCCATTCCGTCTCAAGCCTTGAGGTTTCATGCGAAAATGTTTAAAAAAGATTGCAAAATTTGGTGTTTACCTGTTCCCATCTGCAGTCACAACAGCCGACCACGAGAAGGTACAGCAAAAATGAGTTTCAACCGCAAAACAATTGTGCACTCAGTTTGTAACCTCGGGTGGCAAATTTCAGGTTTAAAAGCGTTAAACATGAGGTGCTGAACGCGTTCTAGACAACATATCGATAGCTTACGTGAAGGATCAACCCACATCCCTGGGTAAAAAGGGAAAATGATTCAAAATTTGAAATCACAAGATTGGAGAATGCTGATTGGTTAGCAGCAGTGAATGAACCCTTCCGCTGATTACCGGGCGTTGGGGTAATTTGGGGTGAACGCAGGATACCTTTCTGGGGTTCCCTTCAAAAAATTGGTGTTCGCATTTCGTTCGCGTTCCGTTCATGGCTTCAAGACCCCATTTGCCTTGGCTTTGCCCAGCTTCACTGGTTTGCATTTTTCGGTCAGCGTGTCAGCAGAATTTCGATACACCTTCCTGTCTACCTTCATGTCAAAATAACTCTGTGGTCATGAATCACACTCTAGCTTAATTGGTCGCTTGCAAGCATGTCATTAGTGTTTTTTGTGTGCAATAAATACAACTGGATATTCCGAAAATGTCGCACTTTGGACGAGGTAGTAATTTCAATTAATATTGTACAGCAACTCATCTCGTTTTACGTTTTTGTTCCCTGACAGTTGTTTGGTATCAATTCAGGTGTTGTTCTGATGAATCTGACGGAACTTCGTCGAATAAATTGGTGGTATCAATGGCAGCAGGAAGTTTTGAAGGAGGTCACTGAGTTTGGTTACCTCCCAATTGCAGAACAGGTGAGAACTTGGTGGTTTAGCTGGTCGCATGATTCGGTGAACGTCTTTTTTATTCGACAAAATCCACTGCAACAAGGGGTACGACTCACGTTGATATTCTGGATACGTTGCCAGAATTCGGATTCAGTATTGCATGATTGGGTGAACGTCTTTTTTACCCGTGACAAAATCCACTGCAACAAGGGTTACAACTCACGTTGATATTCCGGATACGTTGCCAGAATTCGGATTCAGTATTTGCTAAAGACATCATGGTTCGCATAGACTAGAAATCAAGCTAACCGTAATATTACGACCCCTTTAGAGGGCATTGTTCTCACGGATGATATGCTGTCAACTTGGAACCATAGAATAAAAAGTATGTGGGAGGTCAGATGTAGTGCAACTATAGTTTTACTGGAACATGCGTAGCTATCGGTTTTCTGTCTACACAGCTAGTGAGCTCAGTATCACAAGCTTAGTTCATTTCAAACGCTTGTTTCAGTAAGAATAGACTTCTGTCTCACAGCAAACAGACTTGGTAGCTAGCTGTGTTGATCTTAACTAGCGAGTTGCCTTTCACCACATGACGGGCCAGAAGACAGTGACCTAATCTAAAGCAGTTGAGTGAGGCATACTGTAGACGTACTGTGGCATGTTTCAAGGCATGTCATTATGACCCCATAGATTTGCTGGACCAAACAAATTTGCACTGAACTGATATAGTAGTGACATATTCGGATCAATTGAACACATAACTAGATGCTCAGCGTTCCGAGTTTATACGTGGTGGGAGGTCTATCTCTTGACGAAACATGTGGTACAGCTAATCCACAGCTGATTTGTAGCTGCCTCTACTGCTCCCTGGAATGAAGGTTGCATATTCAGGATGTGAAACTTCTTGGCGTATCCACAGTTATTGTATACGTCATTAACAAGCCCATGAAGCTATTGATCCATGACCATCAGTGTTTTCCCGGCGGGTATAACTCAATCAGTCACAGGGTCCGACTACAGTGTTTCGCTGCTATCTAGAATTAAACACTGTCAACCTACGATCTCAAGACAGTTGTGACTTAGTGAATGAATGGTTTTGAAGACGTTAGACCTCCTGTTTACTCCGGGAGCACGGTAATATCCCGGATCACGAACGACCTTAATTTACGCAGTTCAGAGTGAACACAAAAGTGCTTCCGATCTAAAACCGGTACGCCCCTCAAAGGTCGCAGAGGAAAACAGTTCCAACCGAACAATTACAGGGGACAAGAATCCTGGTTTGCATCGAATCACATAGCTAAAAGAACTGGATGAATGAAACTGGTACTATAAATGAGATACTTAGTTTTGAGGTGATCCGAAAGCATTTATTTGCTCCTGCTGATAGGATATTCGGAAGACATGCAAGTGGACGGTTAGTAGTCCAAAGCAACTGGTTTAAGCGTCCGATAGAGATTTCAGCGGCATGCTGTTCCAAAATTTGGTGAGTAACTGTTCGAATGGAGTGTCCTTTCCAGGGAAGTGGCAGTTGTCCACCAGACTAATTCAAGTGGTTAGTGTTTTCATACTTCGTTGCCAGGTCATAGACTGACAACCACTCAACATAGGGCTGGGCGAAAAGAGCTCTCCGAGTCAGATGGTACTAAGGCATGCGGAGTACATATCCTAACCAGCGCAACCTGTTAAACGTGAGCAAATCATTGATCGGGGGAATGTCCCTTCTTCCTAGGACCATCTGGCACACCTCAGCATCACTAATCCGATCTTTCCACTACCACCACCGACCAATGCTTCGAAGACACCGACAAATTTTGTATGTTTTCTGAGCGTAGAGACCACCTTTCTAATCCACAAACCAGTGTGGATCGCACTCCCTCAGCGTAAACCCTACCCTTGACAGACAAACTGACGTCACGTCGGCTCCATAGGTGTTGGAGGTTGGCCAAAGCTTCTCGTGAGACTGACCACCTCAAGACGGCTGTATCCTACAAATGATCGATTTGCGGTGTGTGTGACTTACGACTTGAACGATGGTATATCGAAGTACTGAAAATGGGTTTTGAAAATAATCGGAAAATTTAAATTCGTTAACCAGAGCTATCTGGCGTTGGTTGACTCATAGTGTTTGAGCCCACTTCTGGGCGTATGGCTGCCTTTCACGGAAAGACGGATTGTAAAACTGAATGCCCCGTCACTTAAGTACTTTCCGCCCAATATTTGAAGTTTGTGCTAGAAATGAGCAGGTCAATTGAGGATGATGTGAATGGCTTTACTCGCATTTCTTTGATGTGATTTGTTCTTCGTCATGAGTAGACAGGGTCTTGAAATGTTTATGCGTGCCACCTCATCAAGGAGGACCTTCGGTTTCGTCCCGTGAGAACGTAGGGCTTTCCAGCTGGTGTTCCGAGTCTCTATTCCCCCCTGAAGTATGCTGGTACAAAGGTACAAACTAAAAAAACGGAGTGGAAACAGTCAGGAAAAATGCCATCCACACACTCATCAAAAGTCTATTGAAAACATTTACAAACGCTCCCCGAGAAATAATAGCTGGAATCTCTCTGGACGAGATAGAGGTGCCTAGGGATTTTCTTTTGATATCATTGCATCCATTTTTATACTCCTTACTGATATAAAAACAAGTTTCTGTAGTAGTAGGCACGCAAACTGTGAATATATACAGGATGTCTCATAATAGACGCAAAATTCAATTGGATAAATTTCAATTGGATAAGTAAAACTAGCCAATTAAAGTAAGGATAAGAAAATCTTTCATTATTAGTAGCCACATGAAGGAGGTTTTGTGTGTAGGTTTTCTGTATACGATGGATGTCAGTACGCGCATTGAAACTGTGAAACCCTATTACTCCCTTGGTGAAAGCGTCACCGCTGCACTTCGTGTTTAAAAAACCAAACATGGTCTCATCAGACATCCTTTCACCGTGTCGACCATTACACGGTTGATTGCGAAATTTGAGTCCATTGGATCTGTATTGGTTTTTCCTGGTAAAGGGAGAAAGTCTCTGAGTGATGAAGTAGCGCCCATTGCACAGAATGCCGTCGAGCAACTTCAGTCCCAGAGCATCATGGCATCTTCATCAATAACAGAGATGTCTCAGTTGACCGGCATTCCCCGCGCCAGCGTGCATCGTATTGTGAGACGCCACCTTCATCTCTAGTCGTGTAATTTCACTTTATTACAAAATATCACAAAAGAAAACAAGGAGCAACGTGTCACGTTCACTAACTGGCTGCTGGATAATGAAGAAATCATTCCAAACATTTTATAGAGCGATGAAGCGAATTTTTCTGTGGATGGCATAATCAACAGGCACAACTGCGTGATATGGTCCCGTGAAGCTCCTCACGAGTACTTCACCCATAATCTCCATTCCCCTCATCTCTGTGTGTGGATGGGATTCTCGTCAAAGTGTCTCCTGCGTCCCTTTTACTTTGGTGCTACGGTTTCCGGCGACAGTTAGCTCCATATGCTGCAGAGGCACGTTATCCCGCAACTCATGCAGCACAAGAAGTCATCGACCGTCTTTTAACAAGATAACGCTGCACCTCACTATTCAAACCGAGTGAGAACTTACCTCGGAGAGCAATTTTCCGATGGGAGAGTCATTGCTCGTGGATTTCCAAACTTTTGGCTCGCAAGGTCGCCGGATCTCACGCCTTTGTATTACTGGTTTTGAGGAACAATCTAGGCTCGCGTATATCGTGAGAATAAACCGAAGAATTTGGTGGAGTTAGGAGTAAGGATTAAAGAGGAGTGTGCACGAGTAACTCTTGAAGAAGTTAAACATGCTGTGTCCCAAATCTCATACCTCCTCCAACCTGTTATAGAAGGAATGGGCGGTTTCTTTCAACATTTTTTGTAATGCCAATTTGTTTACAGTAAACCTCCGTTACATAAAAAATTGGTGTTAAAGTTTTAACATGGGTAATATTTTTACGTTTATTATGAGACACTTTGTCAGTCGTGGAAAAAACTGACTGGCGTTGCAATTCCCTCATGTGATCTAGCAAATTTATCCAATGGGCAATCGTTTTCAAACTCTGGAAGGGAGGCCGTGGTAGATGTCTGAAAAATAACAAATGATTGTGAGAGGTGAAAGTTCTTGTAACTTTGTGAGTGTAAGCGAATCAAAATTAATGAATAGAATATTTGTCCACATTTGATTCCCGTGTCTAATTTTAGAAAGTATTGAATGAAATAATGCGACGGAATATCACGCTGTACTATCCACTGAGGTGCGAATGGAACGTCCAGCTTTTCAAAGCCGATGGAATGCAGTGTTGTCCTATACAATGGGTCGATCGGTTGCCTCATGAAACGCATTGCATAAACCCCTTGAGAAACGCCAATTCAAGAGAACCAGCGCGTTTAGTTCACTACAACATCCAAAGGAAGCCTGAAGGTTGTGGACAGTACGCACCCTCTTCCATGGATTTTCAAGCCGGATTAGCAGAAATGTCACGTGAGTAAACAGTCATAAATCGATCGACTCATTTAAGGAAGTATTTGTTGTAACTTTTACCATCTACGATCAGTTCAAATGTGAGAACAAATACTTCCTTAAATGAGTCGATCGATTTATGACTGTTTACTCACGTGACATTTCTGCTAATCCGGCTTGAAAATCCATGGAAGAGGGTGCGTACTGTCCACAACCTTCAGGCTTCCTTTGGATGTTGTAGTGAACTAAACGCGCTGGTTCTCTTGAATTGGCGTTTCTCAAGGGGTTTATGCAATGCGTTTCATGAGGCAACCGATCGACCCATTGTACTCGTGGATTTCCAAACTTTTGGCTCGCAAGGTCGCCGGATCTCACGCCTTTGTATTACTGGTTTTGAGGAACAATCTAGGCTCGCGTATATCGTGAGAATAAACCGAAGAATTTGGTGGAGTTAGGAGTAAGGATTAAAGAGGAGTATGCACGAGTAACTCTTGAAGAAGTTAAACATGCTGTGTCCCAAATCTCATACCTCCTCCAACCTGTTATAGAAGGAATGGGCGGTTTCTTTCAACATTTTTTGTAATGCCAATTTGTTTACAGTAAACCTCCGTTACATAAAAAATTGGTGTTAAAGTTTTAACATGGGTAATACTTTTACGTTTATTATGAGACACTTTGTCAGTCGTGGAAAAAACTGACTGGCGTTGCAATTCCCTCATGTGATCTAGCAAATTTATCCAATGGGCAATCGTTTTCAAACTCTGGAAGGGAGGCCGTGGTAGATGTCTGAAAAATAACAAATGATTGTGAGAGGTGAAAGTTCTTGTAACTTTGTGAGTGTAAGCGAATCAAAATTAATGAATAGAATATTTGTCCACATTTGATTCCCGTGTCTAATTTTAGAAAGTATTGAATGAAATAATGCGACGGAATATCACGCTGTACTATCCACTGAGGTGCGAATGGAACGTCCAGCTCTTCAAAGCCGATGGAATGCAGTGTTGTCCTATACAATGGGTCGATCGGTTGCCTCATGAAACGCATTGCATAAACCCCTTGAGAAACGCCAATTCAAGAGAACCAGCGCGTTTAGTTCACTACAACATCCAAAGGAAGCCTGAAGGTTGTGGACAGTACGCACCCTCTTCCATGGATTTTCAAGCCGGATTAGCAGAAATGTCACGTGAGTAAACAGTCATAAATCGATCGACTCATTTAAGGAAGTATTTGTTCTCACATTTGAACTGATCGTAGATGGTAAAAGTTACAACTCGATTAAACTCAGAGTTATTTTCATGAAGCAAACTACTCACGAGGTCACGGAAAATTCTTCGACGGCCCACGACCGGTTTCGCTCTTCTTAGGGCGCATCAGGTAGGCGCAGACCTTGAGTTTTCGTCAAACTTATGCTTGTTAGTGCTCTAGTATTGACGTAATTAAGTTGATTATCAGAAGGCAACGAGCACTAACAAACGTCTGTCACACTAAAATGTGATGATGAATACAATAGTTAGGTGCACTTGATAAAAATAGATAGAATGCGAAGAGTGAAATAAGCCAAAAAGTGACTTATCGTTTAAAGACAACTGTTGAGAGTGAAGTTCCGCACGTGGGATGTGTCTTCTCTGCAGTATAGCTGCAATTGTCCGTTGGGAATTGCGGAGCTCTGTTGACTTCCTGCCCGGTGCGAGTGAGTGTGTTTTTGGGGCCTATTTATTGCGTGCATTGTGAAGAGAGGGGTGTCCCTTCGTGTTTGATGCGTGCAAGAACATGAATACAACTTGACCTGATGTGTTGAAGTTTGGAAACCTGGCGCGTTACGCAATTGGTAGCCGAATAAACAAAAATGGATGAGAATTTGTGGTGTACAAGCTGTCGGCTGAGGTCGCAAGTGGGACAGGAGTTGTTACGTGGTTTGAGTGTCTATGATGCGTGATATGATGAGTGAACTCTACATGTTCTACTTGAGCCCATATTGGACAAATCTTGACAAATGCACTCGTTTTCACCTCAACTGGGTCTTCGATTACGCGGATACATATGTTGCAATAGGTTTTCTTGTCAGAATTTAAAATTTTGAAGGTAGGTGTTTAAATTGGTAGAACCCAATTCAAGTACGTTCCTCTTTTGCTACGTCATGATAGATATTTTTCAAAAACAGCGAATACCCACCCCTAATCGACTGTCCTAAATGGTTCCATCGTGCTTGAGATCAGACGTGCCGGTCTTCAGAGTTCCAAGGTGGAGCATAGTCGCGATCTACAAGGATACCACTCTTTGAGAATACACCAGTTCATCACTCGTACCAGATTGTGTGTGCTCTGATCCCAACAGATAGTTTGCAACCGGGGCCCCACTTTTAGATATATCGTCCGCGTAACGGAACACCCACGAAGCACTGCATGTTTGTAGAATCAATGGAAGTGCGGGTCTCACAAAACTCTGCACTTATCAAACAATTCAAAACCATTTCTCTGACAAACATAGGTGAATAGATTTCAAAATGTGCCAAGAATTCCCGGTCAACTCAACACGAATTAATATCGATCGATTCGAAATCTGCCAAGATAACTATGGCTGAGTCATTGAATATCTGTGGGTCTCCAAAAGTACACGCGGAGAAACAAGATGCCCAGAAAGTGCACAAACTTTGTCGGATCAAAAACGATAGGAGTATTGACGGGATAAATAAACTCCGGATTGGTCGTCAATGCATAAATTCAAAAATATCGATTTATCACGTGAACGACAAGTTCGTCATCAGATAGGAAATGTGGCGGGAAATTCAAATTTGGAGAAACGGTTTCGACCACAGCAAATTTTCAGGAAAAGCGGAACCTCAAGAAAAATGGGATTCTTATACCTGTTCGTTATCAGATGGATAAATGCAAACTATGGTTAGGAAGGAGAATCACTTGGACTGAATTCTGGAATGTTAGGGTGACCGTACACATTACAGAAAACAAGGTGGACTTCTAAAATTTGTCATGCGGGTCAACACACCCTCCAAAGCCACGAGGTGTGCAGTGAAAAAGGAGAAAGTTTCCTACAAGCCTTACAAAGAAATGGCTCTAAGAAGACGCAAATTGATCAGTTCGAAAATTCAAGAGTAGCCCGAGAATGGTGAAATCATGGGCTGTCGAATTTTCAGCAACCTTATGAGTAGTGCATTACGCCTATACGTGTGTTGCGATATCTCGAATATATTGCCAAGGGAAACATGAGGCAGCATGCTGCATCACATTCAGTTGATTAGAAATATCATAAAACAGAGTTTCGACTTGGTTCCGGGCGAGTCTCCCGCAAAGCCAAGTTTGTTTGGAAATGAGTGTAGTTCGTTAACTTCGTACAATTTGGTTACGAATAGAACATTCGATTGACAAAAACTCGGGGACTGCGCTACCTATTCAGCTCCAAGAAATGTGAAACCGGTTGCCGAAGAATTTTCAGCAACCTTATGAGTAGTATATTACGTTCATACAAAGGAGCTCCGTTCCGCACCAGCAGGCTTCCGAAATGAATGCATGAATGCTGAGGTAGCCTCTGATTCCACAATCATGCTTCTGAAACCGTCGAACTCTGCTGCACAATACTTCTCAGACTGAAGCACATGTCCAAAACTCAGAGAACCATTCAAGTGTCCATCGTCTAGAGTTCGCCAGGAAAGCAGCCAGTCCATACTGGATTGCTGATTGTTGAAGATAACCTGAATTCTTGGTCATTATTGCAGTGTCATTGATATGATCAGTAACGCTGATAGGGTTCATGTCTCCTTCCTAACCCCATGGACCCCGATCAACTTGGATGTCACTTCTGGTCACTGTAATGAGTTATCAAAGCTCATAGGTTCGTTTCCGTGTCACGAACTTGAAGCTGATTGCAAGCAAATGGCTGATGTAATCACCTGAGGTACGTGAAATCATTCTGTTTACAAGCATTTTCTCACCATTAAGAAGCTCCTGAAAGGAACTTGATGTGCGACCCAATCAGCATTTTTGTTAACTTTCCCATGTTTACTTTCCATCCACAGTTGAACAAATTCGACATCGATATTTTCAAGTTCATCACAAGTTTCGGACTATGCCGACCGAATGCTTTGAGATTCCTTGAATAAATATGAACTGGCGAATTTAGGGATAAATGTACTCTAGCAAGTGCCTTTCACATCTTTTTGTACCATGACGTTTTCTCCCCTTTGGACAGATCTTGTAAATTTATCTATGAATCATTTTACCCATATACTGCTCGCAATTAAAGTGCAAGTACATATGGGAAAGAAGTAAGTTGGAACCATGTGTGAAGGTTCTCGAAACCCCGGGGTAAATTAAATTCACCGTCATGATCGTTGGTGTGCTACTCAGACTTTTGAACAAAACTGTCACCAATATTGGTGAAATCGATATTATTCGTACGGAATTTCAGGCAACCTTCTTATGGTCAGTGAAACTCATTTGTACACATTCTAAGTAAGCTGATTATGAAAAAAAACTGACAGGGGGTAGTAAAGTTAGGCAGACCAAACAGGCAACCTCCTCCGTTATGTCAGAGATGTGGTGTGCTGTCTACAGGTGAGCGTGAGCAATAATCGGTTTCATTTGGACAGAATTACCTGTGTGCACAAAGTTCTTCTGTGTGGGATCGGTTTACCTCAACAACCGTGAGGACAAATGATCCACTCGTTTCACACTGCTTTTCTCTACTTGTAACATGATCAGAAAAGTTGTGTTTTGATTGATGGTATGACGTTGTAAATCATTCCGTGCCAACCTTAAAAGAATATCTTTCATAAAGGAAGCTACTCACAAGGTTGCTGAAAACTCTTCGACAGCCCACGACCGATTTCGCCCATCTTGGGGCTCATCAGGTAGGCGCAGTCCCCGAGTTTCTGTCAACCTTATGTTCAAATTGAACCCGAATCGGACTGTTTCCAAGAAATACACTCATTTGCAAATCAATTTGGTTTTGTAGAATATCATAAACGAGAGATTCAGTTGAGTCTCTCTTGAAAACCAAATTGATTTGCAAATGAGTGTATTTCTCGAGAATATCTTTTAACTTTTCGCTACACGTTCAAGCTCATCACTTACATGGGTTATGTTTTTGTGGGGTATGCATATTGTTGTCCACGTCTTTGAGTTACAATTCGTGGATCAGATACTTGGCCCATTCCCACACATTTGCACACCCATTATTGCCTAACGAGAAACTCACAAATGAATCTCCGGTTTATGGTATTCTTCTACCTAGTATGGTGCGCGAAGTCAGCCTCACCTTTCAGTTGCTACGATATTCTCGATATCGCGGCATAGTTCTTGAGGGAAGACTATTCATAAGGTCAAAAAGTTTCCAGAAACCCCATGAGTAGCCTTTTCTCGCAGACATCTAGACGGAAGTAATTCACTTGCCATGGATGTCGGAAGTACCAGACAAAGCACAAAGGGTTAATCGCCGGTCAGCATCCTGATTCATCAAAATAACTGAAGACTGACACCCCAGAAGTACTGCTAATGGTGCGCAAGTTGATGTTACGAATGAGACTTGCGGGTAAAAAACGTTTAAGCTAAGTTGGGCTTTTCTGAGGAGACAGCTTCGAAAGTGAACTTAAGTTTGAGCAGGGTGTTCTTTATGGAGATCAACCAAGAGTGAAAAAATCATTGTGTGAATTCGCAAGTGAGGATGGTTCTCATTGGTTAGACTGATGTGTGAGATATATGAAGACGCTACACAGTGTATCATGGCTCTGGACGTACAACGAGGCCAATCGGCTAAAGAATGAGGGCACATAACCCATCCTGACTAGCTCCTGGAACCAGTTCAGTCAAGCCAATCGGCTAACACATAACCCACCCTGACTAGCTCCTGGAACCAGTTCAGTCATCGAGCATCCTGCAGACATGGAGCACTGCGTGATGCCCAGTAAAAGTTTCCGTGTTGTTCAGAAGGCGCCCACTAATCAATCCAGCATCGCATAGTGGTAGTGGCTGTCAGCATACGACACCGCGCGACCTAACCGTTTGTCAGAAAAGACGTGTTGTTCATGTCCTGGAATTACCACGGTTCTGCTCACCTCTTCTCACACATACATCCTGTGAAAAGCAAACAACCAGAGCACCCCTTACGCTGACAAACTCAGGCCATCAGAATGATGACTTGAACTACTTATTTCTTGAAAAGTAGCCAGTGCCGTCTCTTACTCGACTGGCTGTTTCATGTTCATTAAATTGTGCTAAACACTGCTGTCTCATTCATGCACCTGTATGTCTTGAAAAGATCTTGCCGAGAACACATTCATCAACCCATCAGTGTTCTGATTCTAAACGAGAATTTCCGGAGTGAATAAAAGCCTGAAATCGACCTGCCCTCAGGAAATCGCACCGTGGTTTGAACTCATAATGAATGGCGTCCTGAAGGCAAAGTTTGACTGCTTCACCTGGTAGTAAATCGATCCCCATGATTCGTTCGAGGAGAACGAATATTACCAATCTATTTCTCTTAGATATTTATGTTCAAAAGAACAGATCACCTCGCTGAACACCTGTGAACTACTCAGTTTTTCACACAACCTGTTCATTCTGGTTACATTTCACATTATTCTGATTTTATGCTTCCTTATGAAACGGGATGGTGAGATGGCCAAAGTGGTTAGAGCGCGAATTTACTGACCGGAAGGTCCGTGGTTCGAACCCGACTTCCCCTGTCTAGGCCTGGGTGACCTCGCAGTATCTCAGCCCTCGTGCTTCCTCCGGTTGGCATGGCAGCTAGGCACCGGGAGGGTGTTACAGCTGAACGATTAATATTATTATTATGAAACGGGATTCCCCGCGCGAAATCAGTCAACATTCGCTGGCCATTGATCGTTTCACCCTGTTCTTCAAAGTTATCTACATTTGGTGGACATTAATTGTGTCAATGTAGATAAACAAGTGTTGACATGTGCACTTTACAAAGTCAGAATATTCCACCAATATCAAGCCTTCTCACCCGCCACGTACATATTCCCGGGTCAAAACCGTCGAGAAATACACTTATTGGCACTCCAAGTTTGTTGTTGAGGAAGACTCGCCTGAAGCACTTGTTTACGTTTTTCCTCAATTGTAGTTGCTGCACCAGGCCACCTCGTGTTTCGGTTACGAGATATTGCGCTACATTTCCTGGACGTACCCTGCTGGGTTTTAGCTAAGTCTCCCGTGGCAAGCGAATCGATATTCATATGAGCGCATTTGTTGAATTTCGTGAAATTTTAGTTCAAGTCACACATGGGGTTGACAATAATCCGAGGGCTGCATTCACCTGATGAGCCCGAAGGGGACTGTCGAGGGTTTTTCAGCAACTCTGTGAGTAGTGCGTTGCATTTACGCAAGGTTGAAACTTGATTGAAACGTTTGAGATTTTGGTATTTTTAAGAGTAATATATTTATCTTCGTTTTAAAGGTGGAGATTGATTGGTAAATGGTTCACGAATTGGTGCAATAAGGGCCGGACAACTTAGGCCACGGGACTAGATATCGATCAGGCTGCTGTTGACTTGTTCGCCGAGCTTGTCAATACGATACGCAGACATTCGGCAACGAAATCCGGCGTATTTTCAAAATGTTATGACCGGAAAGAGACCGAAGAGTGCCGGCGACTAGTTTTCAGCAACCTCATGAGTGGTGCTCCTATATCTTGTACCATGTTGAAACACAAAGTGGCTTTTTCGCGGCATAACATGTCGAAACCACCTTTATGAATGAGAGATCAAACTAGGATCCTCTAAAACCAGGAATATGGGTAAGTTGTATGCTCATCAGTCCAATGGGCGAAATCTATTCGCACTGTATATGACATTATCTTCAAGTATGCTGGAGAGGCTCATAAATGCTACAGTTCGGAAGTGCTGTAAGTTCTTCGGAGCGTCTTGTGAACAGCACCTTGCTAGCGACACCCAAAACGGTTGGATAGCTTCCTTCCCTTATTCCCAAGAAGTTTGCTCAACTCTTGTGATGATGCCCGTAACCGCGTTTGATTTTGCGCAGTGTGTATGGAGGAAGCAATTCCATCTACCGCCACAGCATGATATCCATTTGCTTGGTCTCCCGTGCAATAAACTCAGACGGCTATCTTGTGCTGGTGTTACACTCTTTCAATCCAAAACACAGGCTATTCGCANGCAGGACTTTTTCCCGACATGGGTCATGAAGAACTCACCCTTCTCAACTATTTTCTGGCTGAGTCGCTATTTTCCCATTCTCATTGTTTATCTCAGTGAAAAGGAAGAAGGCCTTTTCTGCGGAGTTATTTATTAGAAAACGCCAACTGAACAGTTACAGACTATTGGACAGGGAAGCAAAACTCTCATATGCATCTTATTTACAAAAACTGGACATCCATCTTCTCCTGAACGCGTCTTCCTGAACTTTCCTGGATATTCGTTGACTGTTGCTCAAATGCAAGCAAATGCGATTCAACAAACTACATAAGACATCTCACTTTTCAACAGACGCGGAGCGGATTTACGAGAAAACATGCTACTCGCATACCCCGTCAGTAGTATTAGTGAGTACTTTTAGACGAGCAATGCAACACGAAATATTTTTGATGAGCTGAGCACGTTTCATCAGTTTAGTGATTTCAGTGGGCTGACTTCATAGACACATAGAAACTTAGTTTTCAACCAGTCTCATACACCTGGACTGTGATGGGTCTCATCAAGCAAGATAGCCAAACACATTTTGGGTATATTCCATAGTTGACAAAAGTTTCACCAGTGACCTTCATTCTGAATATGTCGAAGCAGTGGAGCAACAGCCATATATTCAAAATGAGCTATTCACTGAGATGCTGTGACGAAAATCCTGCGGAGAAAAGACAACTTATCCATTCCAATGTAATTTCCTGTTTTTGACCGGAGTTTGTGCACGTCGAAATAGAAAAATAGTAATAAACTAGCAATATTCCAGCTGTGGAATTCCTTCGTTGCTTGGTCGCCACGCTGGCCGAAGGAGGCTCGAGGGCTAAGAAGCTGCCAGGTTACCCAGGCCTAGACAGCAGCAGCTGAGTTGCCGGGGTTCGATTCGAACCACGGACCTCATGATCAGTGTTCCTCAGCTGTGTCAGAGTGAGCACGTCCTAAATAATAAGGGGCTTTTAACGAATATACACTCATTTGCAAACTAATATGGTTTTTCGAGAGATTCACCTGGAACCCAGCTGAATCTCTCGTTTGTGATGTTTTCAGGCAACTGAATGTACTGCACACAGGTCGCCTCATGTTTCAGTTGCTACGATATTCGAGATATCGCGATACATGTATATTTGTGATGCACTACTCATAAGGTTGCTGAAAATTAGTCGACAGCCCACGACCGGTTTCGCCCTTGTTGGGGTTCATCAGAAGGGCGCAATCTTATGCTCTACTTGAAACCAAATTGCACGAATTTAGCGAATATACACTCATTTGCAACTCAGGGATTGCGCCTACCTGATGAGCCCCAAGAAGGGCGAAACCGCACGTGGGCTGTCGACGAATTTTCAGCAACCTTATGAGGAGGGGCTTCTAACTTCCCACACGTCACGAAGGTCAGCATGCCGCCGGCAGTTATGCGACGATTTGATACTTGACCCAGCCCCCCAGTTAACAAGTCTTCCTTTGGAAATTTCCAACAGAAACTGGCCTAATAAAGAATATGATGATGGCATCATCGATTTTCTGACTTAGAGCGAATCCATTCCTCTCAGCTGTTAGAACGGCTTGGCGACACTTTCATACAGTCGAACAATTACCTATTTATCAACAGCAGCATCATGGTGCGGCTCCTACTGAGTTCACATCATGAAATGTCACCTGAACAACACTTAAACCCGAATCTAGGCGCTCGAAAAACGTAATTGAGATGAGAGCTCTATATTCTGATCACGCGACATTTGTCAATCCAGTCCAATCGATCCAATGATGTCATGACTTCATGTGAAACCGTATTAATTTTGCAGCTATTGACTATCACTTTTCAATCGAGAGATCGAATTCAAAAGTATGTATGCTTTGATTTGTTCACTATGAGTAAACTCGAGAGTTGAGCGTGAAGTAACCGGGCCACCAGTGAGTTACATACCTGGTCTCCATTTTCAGGTGCCGTAGACTGTCTTTAAAGACTACGGACGAATATTGTAAGTTTGTTCGATTGACTGGTCTGCACCGGTTGACGTGAAATTGCGACGAAGTGAATATTGCAATATCTGCAATTGTTTTTCACCCGTGCCAAGCTGTCGGTCGCGTTAAGTTTCCCAAGATCACCGAACCCTGCGCGGGACTTTGAGTCAAGTCGAACTAGTACTTTGAATGCGAATGAGCCGCTCAGTTTGGGACGTACGCACAGCAGTAGATTGTGATACAATGGCTATTAGAATGGACTTTAATGCGAATGGCCGCTCAGTTTGGGACGTACGCACAGCAGTAGATTGTGATACAATGGCTATTAGAATGGACTTTAGTTCTCAGGATTTGATTCGGACACTTTGGGGGTACCGTCACCGAGAAGACAAATGCTAAAAATTGGCAATATGACTGCCACTTTGCCGGCCATTTCTACTCACTCTTAGGTTGATAAATGAAGAAGAATGTGTCAACAACCAGTTTCTTATTAGCGAGTGTGTAAGTATAGGATTTAAAAACACTGCCCGTTGATATACATTCAAAATGGGTGTAAAAGACTGAATATCAGTTGTAAGGAGGTATTTTGCGTGGATCTCACGGACCGTTCAGGGAAGACATTCTGTTGGCATGTTTCGAAACTTGTTGTGAACTTGGAAGTATCTGTGACGAAGTTGTTGGACTGTCCGAGGGAAAACAAAATGGAGGGGGGAGTGTGAATTGGCTACCAAAGTCGAGAATATCACTCATTAACAAGCAGTGTCTCACTTTCAGATTGGATAACTTTATAAAATGGCATATGTACTTGACTTCGTAGCATTGATTTGTTATGGTTGTACACACCGTGGTGTAGCACTGCATAGCTCAGTAACCTACCACATGGTGCAGTATATTATAGTATAGTATATTATAGTATAGTATAGTATAGTATAGCATAGTATAGTATAGTATAGTATAGTGTGGTGCAGTATGGTATAGTATGCTGTAGTGCAGTAATGAATAGTGTAATAATGATCCGTGCACGCTTGAATAACGGAAATAGCTGGGAACTAATCCACACAATACTTTCGGCAGGTTAGAAGAAGTAGCGTGAATTGTTTTGTCATAAAATTGGCTCGGTCAAGATACTAAAGTGAAATTATAAAAAGCCAAAACCGAAGAAAAGCAGTGCCGAGGAAATTTCTTCCAATCATAACCCTATTGAAACCATCGGATATAATAGACGCTAATACAATCGAAGTAGTGTTCTGGCTCGCAATCTGTATGATTCACCGGTGCTTTCGAGTGCAGTAATGCTTCTATGGGCCGTACCACCTGTGAAAGGAGGAAGGCCTTCGCTGCGGAGTTAGAAAATGCCAACTGACCAGTTACAGACTATTGGACAGGGAAGCAAAACTCTCATATGCATCTTGTTCAGAAAACCAAGTATGCATCTTCTCTTGAATGCGTCTTCCTGAACTTTCCTGTATATTCGTTGAGTGTTGCTCAAGTCTAAGCAAATGTTACAAAGCGAGTCCACAACTTCCGCAATAGATCTCCCTTTTCAAACGGACTTACAAGAAAACATACTACTCGCATACCTCCCTCATCAGTAGTATCACCGTTACACCTGGACCGCAGTTTCTGAAGTTTCCATATTGCCAGAAAGACTAGTGGTGATCAGTCCGACAAACACCAGATAGTTCACGTATTATGACAAATTCTATTGTAAGATGGTCTGAAAATAAAATCGCACAGTTTGCTACAACAGGAACGTAAAAACAATAAGTGCTTTGTCCCCGTTTAGAGAAGCAACAATGATACCTACTCTGTAGCAGTGCCAGGTTAGTAAATTTCGTCCCTAAAACCGCCATCCGAAAACCATGAGGGTGCCCAACTGGAAGTTATTCCTTACAGTCGGAATAATTTAGAAAAAAGTGTCCAGTGCTACTTGAAAGGTATTTGCTGTGTGCAATGGGATCATGATTCACTTCCGTGCTTTATCTCATTGGACTACGATTAAGGTCAGACCCTCCTTTCATGAATTGGAAGCTAGAATGTGAAGGATGGAGGGGGAGAGATCTGGGAGGCAAAAGAAAACACCGTTCAGTCTTAGCATCCTTTCGAGGCCCAACCGCAACGCCATTAGAAGGAGGCACGAGGGCTGGGATACTGCCAGTTTGCCCAAACCTAGACATGGGAAGTCGAGAGGCAGAGGTCGTGTTCGAACCACGGAACTTCCGGTATGTACACTCGCGCCCTAACCAATGAGGCGCTATGGAATGGGGCCTCCTTAGACTCAGTGAGACCCGGATGATTGGGCAACTGTCCCTGTTTTTTTCTGGAGTGAACAAGGCAACAAATCTGTTGTACGCATAACATAGGATTCGCAATTGCAAACCAAATAAGCTGGACGTGAACTGATAAACCGAACTGATCCAAAGAGACCATGATGATCGTCTGATTTCGGCCGTTCTGGACATGGCTTGTCATATTTACTAGCGCTCGCATCCTTAAAATATCACACTCAGGTGAGGAGGAAACCGAATTCTGCGATCAAATATCTAATCTGGTCAGATCTGAGCCACCGAGTAACCCCTTTCGTCTGTTGAGTCAGTAGAGTGTTTGGGTTGGCCAAAAATCTGGAAGAACATGTTGAGTGGATTTAAAATCAGGTGAATGAACACAACCAGTTAAAGACTAGCGAAGACTTGTGCAATGGATGGACTCTCCATTAAAACACACGTTCCAGCTTGCTGAGTACACCAGACTTTTACAGTAATTCATTCAAGAGATGGATACGGACACCTAACCAACAAAGAAATCTCGGTAGCTGAATGTAGTGTCCGGTAAAATTGCGTCCCACATTGAAGACGATCACTCAGAGTGAACCAGGAGTGAAATTTTCCAAGTTAAATGTCAGAAAACTGGAAAAGCATGAAGCTACGTCAATGTTTTACCAAGCTCTAAAGTAGAGGTGAGAAGATAACAAATAACGAAGTCCAAGCATCTGGGTCCGAACATGATCACAGTCAAGCAATTTCTGTGGATACAATCCAACTACAGCCTGGAAGGAGGTAAGACAGATGTAATTTGAACGACCTGTTGACATCCATCTTGATTCAAGCGATTCAAAAGTATCCGGTATTCGATAAAGAGCAATCGAAAGCAAATCACAAATGCAGGGATCAAGGTTTTGAAAAACCCGAAATAGAATGAAGTGAAAACTAATGTTAGACCCAACCAACTGAAGAGCTTTAAACAAACCTGGGAATTCGTTGTCACGATTATTCTTTACCGAAATAAAACAAATCTAGGAGCCGATAAAAGATGAACACACGGTCGAAAAACTTTACAAGGCAAGCAGAATTCTGGAGGCTGATGAACGTCTTACTTCCATACTATTCAATCACCAGAATAAGCTGTCTTACGGAAACTTCCTTGTCTGACTTATTAAGGAACTCCTCATGGACGTAAACCAACAGCAAAATGGCGGACCATTTGGGTGGACTGCTTGCACGTGAGACTGTTCAAGCTTCGAGGACCGGCGCTAGGGAACAAGCTCCCCCCACTCTGCTATGCAAAATCTTCGAGAGAGAAAGGATTTCGCAATGTTCAAAGGTACAGCGACAATTTCTCGATAGAAAAAAAGGAAGTCAACAGAAAACGGCCATCAGCTACGAAACCGGTCTTGTGTGTGTGACAGGCAACACTATGGCTGGTAAGACACTCATTTGAGCAATCAGTGGAGGAATGCGTTCCTAAAAATCAATATAAATTTTGAAGCGGTCGAAGCTCAGCTGACTTAATTTTTGGCTAGTCCAGAAGAAATGTCGTGATCGGAATCAGTTGTTCAATGGACGGTTTGTGGATTTTTCCAGAATTTTCAATCTAGTCTACAGAGGAGCGCTGCCGATAATGCCAAAGAAGCTTTACTGTCAACGTTCACTTGTTAAACTCTTGAAAGCTTATCGCATGGGAACAGAGCCCGGAGGTGGACTTGCGTACCTTGATCGAGTTCAAAATTTGATACTGTATTGAATGTACGGCCATTTCCTTGCCTAATCCCCATTCAATCGTTATTGCATGTTGCAATCATTCGCGCAGAGGCGTTCTGCTACTCTGAAGGTTACACTGAATATTCATTGGTGTTTAGACCGTAACTGATTCGATTCGACCAAAGCGCTGCTGAGTGAGTTAGAATTCTGTGGGCTGGTGTTTATTATTTTCGGACTTAATGCCGCTAAATACGGTGTTCGCTTGCGTGCCTGTTATTAAAGTAGCCTGAACCAGCAGTCCAGGTGACCTCGTGACCATCCTGACGAATTCCTGTCCGCAGACGTCTAAGTTGTATAAGCCAGCATGCTGTCCGTTAGCTTTGCGAAACGCGTCACCGTTGAAGCAATGATGCCAGCATCATTGTTCTGTCTTCGCTACTTCGAGACAGCCAAATCTAGGCATTAAACACGTGAAACAGATTGTTTATTTGGATAAATTTACTCAAGTTTTTCTGGGAAGGAAATCTAAAAGAAAGCCACCTTTCCCTTTTCAGTTAGTTTAGCGATAAGCAAACAGGTCATGGAGTGAAACTTTGGAAGATCGATCAACCATCTTCTTCTATCGTTCACGAAAGTCTGTAGAATAGCAGGGCTCCGTAAGCTAGCAAAGATAATCATTTGGACGGAGCTACCTAAAAACTCGCAGATGCCTTCATTCAATATGTTGTGGGAAAAACCGAATACAGCGGCATGCATCATCATCGTCATCATTGACAGCATGATATCAGTGTCCAACATCGATGCTTCACTGCCGTACAATCATGACTTGTTTGAAAGTCTTATTGTAAAGAAAAGAGTAAATGTGGACAGGAAAGGGACTTAGTGCCAGCTTACCACAGTCATTCCGAGGTGCCTACACCTCCAGACATTCACTCAGGCAATCTGGATAGAAAGTGGCAACAAGAACGCCGCTGACACCGATTAGCAGCCATATCTTGTAGTGTCTCTAATCAGGATCACACGGTCCCCATCCTGGAAGGTAAGTAGAGCCGACAGAACCCAAGCGTTTCATGGTCTCCTTCATACTCCTCTGCCAAGTCAAGGGTTCGCCACCTCTCTGAGTTGGGAATGGAAAAAAGCACTCTCTTCGGCAAACGATGGTTTGGCATACGCAACACATGTCCCACCTTTTGGTCTGAAATCCTGTGCTTGGCTGCTCCTGGTTGGGTCGTGCCACAGGCCAGCACTATGCAAGGAGGTGGCAATCTCGTCCCAGTATGAGTTCACATCTGATGGTGGAGCATTTGGAAGAGACTCTAGAAGATGATTCTGGTAAGTTCGTCTGACATCCAGATCTACCAGTCTTTCAGTTGCCATGCGATTTGTCCGCAC